CTTCAAAACTTCTTGTTCCCTAGAATTTGTGACGTTATGAATATGACAAAGGACATAGTAGGGTAATGTTGGCTTGTGCCCGTGGATAATAATAATGATCTTGTATGCCGTTCTTTTGACCAATCATAGTTCTTCTTTCCACAGCAGATCCACTCTTTCTCATCGTGGCGTCTTGACTTGAATCTATTATTTGACTGTATCTAACACAAAACACTGAGTAAAAACACTATTGAGTGACAACATTTAATAGAAAGCCTGGAGCGCATGCGAAATTGAGCCCTCCAATGTCCTTCTCTTCCATCGAAGGGCATCTAGAGTGTTTGAAGATATTATTAGAACATCTTCCCGCCCACTGAAGCTACATAAACACTATAAGTTCCTGATCGTGATGCCAGATTGACATCCCTAAGCGTATTGACGAAACTTGAAGCTAGAAGTGTAGTGCCTGCAACAAACTCATGAGAGTGAGCAAAAGAACTACCTTTTTTACCACATAAGCTAGATCAGACAATAAAAACGGATCCATCTCTACCTCAAATCTCTGCCTCGTTGTTCAACGCATCAACGCATAAATAGGCACCGAGAAAAATTAAAGTCTGAACTACAGACACGGCAAGGCATTCATCCAAGCCGTAGTCATCAATATACACCAATCGCCTCACCAACAACACTTCGAAAGATACCATCGGGGTCAAACTTCTCTCTGACTGCCTTGAAACGAGCAATGTGCTTCAAGCAAATATCAGCATCCAGGTCTCAGCAGTGTGGAAGCAAACTTACATCAGGGTCAAGATTCTTAGCAGAGCGCTCAAATACCTCTCTTGTATTCTTGGTCCAATGCGGACGACACGGGAATTCGTCAATGAGTGTTTCCGCAAGTTTGTGATCTGTTAACTTGTCAGCTAAATCGCTTCCTACCTATCCATGGAACCAACTTACAGAATGGTTCGTTGTATCGCAGTCCGTCGCCAATACTTGGTTTGTAAGATGGGAAGTCCAACATAATAGCGCCTTTATCCCAGTCGGCGCCATCGGAAGTACCGTAGGTCACCTGACCCAGAAGATCGAAATAGGGTCTGCCGAACTTGATGTTGATGCCGCTTCTGTAGGTCGATGCCATAAACTTAAGCTTCTTGGCCTCGTTATCGAAAAGCTGACGAACCCTCTTTAGCATTGCATTCGCTTGAGTCACGGGGAATGCAAGTTCAAGAGTATAACCGTGGATACCGTATTCCCAAACTGGCTTTTGGTCGGGATAAAGACCGCCGATGAGAACGTCGTAGTTCCAGCCATAGACGGGCCACTTGGTGATGGGCTCATTGGTTGTCTTTTCGCGAAAGTTGGGGTTTTCCCATTGTCCGAAGAGGATCTCTTCTGCGAGGAGATTAGACAGAGCGACGCCTTTTCCGGTGTTCCAGAGAGCTGTGATGGCGCCGGCTTCAAGTTGGGTTATTGAGAATGTATTCTGGAAACCCTCCTGGTCACTCTTGTTGGTGGGAATGACGTCGTAGTACCGCCAGTGGAATTTCTTCTTATGGGGCCACCACTAAAGTCATTTAGTTCCGGTCAAGAAGTATAGCTGAGTACTCACCCAAAGATTGGCTGTGGCATAAGGCGAAATCATACCATAGATATCCCCGTTTAGAACATCTGCCTCGTCAAGCGTCTTCTGGTCGGCGTAGACCTTAAAGTCGGGATAGATCTTGAACTTCATTCTCACAATCACACCGAGGAGACCAAGAGATGTCGAGGCAGCAAGCCACTCATCACTATCATCACGCTCCAGGTGTCGCAACTCGCCGTTGCCATCGATGATATCCAGAGCCAAAACACCAGCCGCAACCATGGAGTCCTCCCGAATGGAGGATCTGTGCGCGCCCATGGCTACACATCCGGCGAGAGTAATGTTCCAATTGACAAGCGTATATCCCGCAGACGCACCGCGCTGGTGCAGGTAATCTGCAAGCTGCAGGAATGTCACGCCAGCTTCGATCATCACAGTGCCAGCGTCGAGGTCGAGATCATAGATCTTGTTGACCTGCTCTGTACGCACAATGACAGTGTTGGGGTCATCGGAACACATTGTGTCATACCACATATGTGCTTTTCCAGATGCGCGAACTCTCTGGCCTGCCTTGATGGCATTTTGAACAATGTTTTGGATGTCCTTGACACTAGTGGCGTCACGAACAGCTGAGACATTCTGACAGGCTGGGAAGCCGGGACCATCAAAAGTGTTATACGTGAGAGCATTAGCCCCAACGGCCAAACTCAATGCGGCCAAGCTTCGAAGAACTACCATGGTGGTGAGGGAATTGATGAACCACTGGCGATAAAGTTCAAGTAGTAACTATCTTCAATATACAAGAAGTAATCCTATTGTATTTAAGCTTATTCTAAACAACTAAAGACATAGAGTTAATCGCGCTCCGATTAGCGAGTTCCATGTGAAAGTCTAGCACGAGCGCCGAGCAAAAGCTAAAGCCCCGCGTAAGGTTGCATTCACTAAGCCTGGAAGTTGTCGATCAACATCATCAGATGATGGGCCGTAGCTCCCTTCAGGCAGGTCCCCTGCTCGGGATGACACTTTACGCGGGGAACTCACCAAGTGTAATAGCGTTCCTGGTTTATTACCCCAGAATGGGTAGTTCCGTGATCTGCTGATGTCTCAATACGGTAGAGCATGCATAGAACCCCAGTCGTATATGCCGCTCTACTAACGTTACCCCGCATTTTGAACTCGATTGTTAGTAAGGCACAGTATACGACGTCTTGATTATGACCAAATTCACGTCGGCTTCAATTGTGAGATTCAAGGCTTGATTCCCGGAAGTGCAGGTCCTGTATGTGAGGTGTTTTGGGAAACATCACGTCCAAACCGATGGATGTGAAGTGCAACTCGCTAAGGTTGAGAAAATAGCCTGGGCAACACTATTACCAATTACAGGTCAAGTATGAGAACAAATGGCACCATGATGAGAGTTGCTATCCGAAGTAAGACCAGAATATTTACAGCATTGCTGCAGTTGCTCTAAATTAAACCTGCCTACCCTAGGTAAGACAGGCCACCTACGATCCACTCTCAAAAAATCGAGCCCTCAACAGAGACTGTGGGGTCGGCTGCGGAACAACGATATTCCAGGTCCAGACACTTCCGTCATAGCAAAAGGAGTGACCCCACTCAACGTCTCCCTTCAAGTGTACGATCGTCACAGCACAAGGAGCAAGCATTGAGATACCAAAAGAATCCCTTGATTATAGATATAATTGCCTAAAATGCCGCGCATGAATCTCGGCCTCCCCTACAACCACTGCAGCCACTCTCCCTGCCCAGCTGGCTTCCAAAGCCCCAACCTTCTCCGCTGCGGAGCTTGCCAGACCGTCAAGTGCTGCGGCAAACCTCACCAAAAGACAGACCGGCCAAGGCACAAGGTCCAATGCGTTCCTATCAAGTAGACCAAGGACAAACTCACTGCGGAAGAAACCGAGCTACGCGCCAATCCCGGCCACGACACTGATGGCAACCCTTTCGATAATGCAGTAATGCCTTTTCTGGTTCTTCAAGAGTACTCGTCCCTACATGCAGGCTCGTCACGACTACATCACTGCTATTCTCAATGCCCGCACCGGAGAAGCCGTCGAGATTGCCCTCCGAGAATCTCTTGAGATGTTGCGTCTCTGCCGAGGCGACAACCTCAGCGTCCGCTCGCAAGTTCCTGGGCTGTATCTCCGACTTGGGAGGGATCAAGAAGCCTACGATTTTATCAAGTGGTATGCAATGAAAGGCGGCTCCAATTATGACTGGCGCGACATGAGCTTGCCGTTCCTTGATCTTCAGGGAGAAGATGCATTCGAGGCTGTTATTGGGAAACCTTTATCCTACGACGTTTCCTTCAAAATGGCCCTGACGCTCATCAAGATTCGTCTACTGAAGGATCTAGAGTCGATGCAGGGGTTTTTACAGAGAAAACCCAATGCGAGGGGGAAGAGAGATATGATTATTTGCAGGAGGAGGCTATGAGCGATGTCCTTCAACAGCGGGCGGATATCGTCGCGAAAGACGACTATAAGGACTTGATTGCTGAGCTTAAACGCCAGGTACTGCAGTTGTACAAGATGGTCAAGGAGGACAACAAACACATCTGGCCGGGCATTGAGAACCCGAACCTGTATGCATACGATGTGCCGGCCGCTTATTCTCCCGGGTCGCGGGAGGAGGCAGTGCTTATCTTTCGCCAGTCGTGGTACTCTTGGTCAGAGACGGAGCCGGCGATACGGCATATCAGGGGGGTTATCAACGATGGTAAGTAAAGAATCTGCCAATGCGCAAGATGAGAGAGGCGCAAAGCCAGCGCAAAGACATTAAAAACGGACCTCAAATGACTTGACCTGAATGCCGAGAGAGCTACCTTGTTCGAGCCTCTTGGGTTGAATGAAGTCTCGGGCCGAGTTCTGGCCGATACCCTATTCGCACCTAAAACACGGGGCTAAGCATTTTATGGGGTGCGCTTTGACTTTACGTCCGGTGAGCCTGACACAGACGATCCCGGAACAAACCCCTATAGACAGCCATGATCGACGAACGTTTCCGGTTAGCGAGAGTTGTTTCGGTTAGACACCCCGAGTCAGTTGAAACGCGAGTCAGTCCCCACGCCACGGTCAGACTTAAACCCGTAGCTGAGCCAATACAATCGGCCCCCAACTGTAAAAGGGGAAAATATGGAGTCATCACGGCATTGAAATGCAAGGAGACGAGATGATGTGCCGAGAGGGATCTGCCACGTGCGGTCGGATGAGTGTGCCGAGCAAGTGCGGTAGAGAAACGGAGGGAATGGGACTAATACAACTTGGGGGATTCTTGCGAGGGAGTTGTTTGAGATGGTGGATGATAGCAGTGATCATAGATGATGGTGTTGTATAAGTATCAAGGCTCTGAAGACTTCAATCTCAGTCCTGCCCAGCATTCATCACATACCTTCAGCAACAACCAAGTCTTAGCCATGCTTTCACAGTTCATCACCTTCCTCGCCCTCACAGGCTGCGCAGCCGCTGCGCCCAACCCCAGAGCCGCAAAGTGCACATCCTACACCATAATCAACACCCGCGGCACCGGCGAAATCCAAGGTCCCTCGGCTGGCTTCCGCACCATGAACTCCCAGATCACATCCCAACTCCCCGGCGGCAAGATCTACAACACCGTGTACCTCGCCGGCTACGACCAAAACTCCGCGCAAGGCACCCAAGACATCATCCGCGAGGTGAACAGTGTCTTGGCGTCCAACCCTAGTGAATGCTTCATTCTAGAGGGTTACTCCCAGGGCGCTGCGGCGACTGTGAACGCGCTGCCGCAGCTGACGGGGAGTGCTGGGGATGCTGTCAAGGGGGTCTTCCTGATTGGTGATCCGTTGCATAAGAGCGGGTTGGCGTGCAATGTTGATAACAATGGGGGAACGACGACGAAGAATGTTAATGGGCTTGAGGCTTTTGGGGGAGGGGGTATTCCCCAGAACTGGATCTCTCGCACGCTTGATGTTTGCATCTTTGTAAGTTCACATCAGACCTGGGACTTGGGATTGTTTACTAATGTGGTTAGGGCGATGGAGTCTGTGATACGACGCATGGGTTTGGTATCAATGCTCAGCACCTTCAGTATCCGACTGATGCGGCGACTCAGAAACTTGGAACAACTTTTGTTGTCAAGCAGTTGAGTGGGTAAGGAGCCTGCTTTGCAAGGGAAATGTTCGTTTTGTATTTAGTATCGAGAATGGCGATGTATATAGTAATTTTACAGTCAAAATTAAAGTGCTGATGGCCTCTTCATAATAACCACGAGACTGATCCAACAATCCATTAGCGCATGGTATTCCTCGCCATTGGCGCCGGACTCCAGTTGCATGAAGCAGCCCCAATGTTGCTTCAGTTATCGCAATCAGACTGGTATACCTACCATTTCTCCCTAACTTGCAATATGTTATCCAATCAAGGTGTCGAAAAGATTAGAGCTAACTATGTCAAGGAACATAACGGAGCTACCTGTAATTACCCACTGCTCAGTTGCAAGTTGAATGGTACAAGATATCGGATGATTGATTGAACTTCTGATCCAGCGGCTTGAAGATGATATAAAATAAATGCAAAATAAAAACTATTATGACTTTGTCGAGTCGAGCCTCTGAATCGAAGTTATCTGTTTAGGCCACTTGAAAGAAATAGAACACGCGTGATGGTTGACTGGCCGTTCTGTGCAGGGACTTTTCCTTGCCGAGATGTCAATGACGCTCATGGTCCAAGTCCCACCCTTTTTGCCTGTCAATGTGGTCAGAAATAACAGTTAGGTTCGGGCTATCTGACAAAATAAATCAGATGAGCTCCACCTGTAGCAAGCTGTGACCTGCACTGCTATTCTCGCTCTACACCTAGCGCTTACTCCACAGCATGAACCTTTTTACTGTCATGTCATGCGACGGATCGGAAGAGTAGTTGATCCGTTCCTTGGAGCCCAGTGATGAGCTTTTCCCTACCTGCAAGTCTCAGAATTGCTTTGTGCCAACCCCACCTTTCATTCATCATTCAACTGAGCAGTCACATCCTCACATCATCAAGCGACACCGCCATCACGCACTACAATCCCAGCGAGTCTCTAGTAGAACATAGACTTAACTCTCCATCACAAACCACCCAAAATCTCTGGTTCCGACCGTTGAAATCACTGAACCAAGAGGCCTCTCCAAATACCCTCATCATGCCACCAAAAGCACGAAAAGGAGGTGAAACCCTGGCCAGCATCCTCATCGGCGGCACGCTCTATGCAGTCGCAGTGACAGGCATGGCAAGTCTATTTGAGCAAGCAGGCGACAAGAAGGATAGCAAAGAAGAGTCCAAGCAAGCAGAGCCGAACTGGTTACAAAGAAATTTCCCAGCAAAAGAAAAAGGTTATTACATGAAACAGGTTGAGGAGGAATTCAGGGATCATCACGAGAAGCTGAAAATAGAACGACAACAGTCGCCATCAACATACGATACATCGCTTTTCAAATTAACCGAGCAAGATCGCTTGCAAGCAGAGAACATGCTGAAGCCTTGAATAGTTGCGCGGGGTAATATAACGATATGAACTTGAATCCTTATCTATTTCTCATGCCAGCCCTGTCGAATATGCGTGATGTATCGACGAAGTGGAAATGAGGGCGAGTTCTGCGTATCTGCGTGAGAACGCAGCGCCTTGGCAGGTCGCTGAACTGGTAGGTCTCTGATTTAGCCTACGAGTGTGCCACTGTCTTTTTTTATTTTGCTTCTAATACCAGGCTGAAAGAGCGGGCTTGATGTCCTGTGCTGGTTCACGTACAATGAACACGCCTCGATAAGTCTGGCTTTCATACCACTGTCACAGAACAATCGACAAGAGACAAAGAAATCTGCATCGTGTATTTCGTGAACAGAAGAATCAGCGATAAAGATGGGAAATGTCCGCTCCCAACCAATTCTCAACCTTCCAACTCACTATCCGACACCATCATGATTAGCAACACAGATCCGTATCTCCTCGGCCGACAGCTCCAGCAGTTCCGCCAAGATAACCCAGACGACACCCGCGCCATTTGGACCGAATACGACCTCTACTACTTCACCCTCTGTCCACTCTCAATTACCGGAAAAGGAAAAGAGGGATATCCTCTTGAATGGCGGTACGATGCCGTGCACTTACGATCCAGCCGCGCACTATGGAGGACTCTGATGACGGACCGATATCTCTATGATGATGTGATGGAAGAGTGGCTTTCGAACTGGCGACAGCCCATCATCGAGAAGTGGCGTCCAGACAGGGCTGCGAATGAGAAGGGGTTTTGGAAGCGGTTCTGGGGTAGATAGTTGCCGGCCTTTTTGAGGTCAGCGACATGGCCTAATAGGCGCGCATCATTCTCAAGTTGTTATGGCCGAGTCAAAAGGATCATCCAAAGTTACGAAATTGAGCAGCGCTTGTGGATCCAGGCGACAGTCATTCAACCAATTGCAGCAGCCCCTTTTTCATCCTGACCTATTAGCTACCTTAGAAATCGGAAGATGGGCCCACAGGCGCTATGAGTTTGTTAGTGATGGTAGGGCTTGTTCACAGTGTCGGTGAGAGATTGAGATAGATAAGACAAATAAAGTCAGAATGATTGATTGCATTAAAATAACATATACAGTCTTGCATTTTTTGCACATATAAAAGCTTATCTATAGGAACTATTAAACAGAAAAGTCAGGGCAAAATAAAACCGCACTAATATTTAGATCTCTATTATAATATCCTAAACCACTATTTCAATAAAACAAACCGCACTTTTAGCAAACACAAACAGCTCAAAAAAGATAAAGACTAACACCATTCGAAACTCCCCCGTTCTTCATCCTGGTAGACCCCCACCTAGTTCTTGAACAAGTGATCAAAGAGTCGTCCTACTCCATAGATAACTGCACAAGGCACAATACACAGGGAGATGACCGGTCGCAAGTCCATAATGCCCCAGTATCTCATTTCCGGCACATAGTTCGCGGAATTCTTCCACTGGGCCAGTTTGAAGTAACTCTGCAGGAACAATTGGCTGAACTTGAAGTAAAAAGAGAGAACAATATCATCGCGGTGTCTCCAAGCTAGCATCTTCACTATGTCGACACTGCTAAAGACGCTAATCACGGTAAAGATAGATACGATGGTTAGCCAGATGGCGCAGAGAAGATCTCGGAAGCCGAAACGCTTAGAGTGTTGGGTAGACTGGGGCATGGTGCGTGGCGAGCAGGCTGATGGAGGAAGTGTGGATAACCAGCCCTCTATATCCATTTTGTCTGGGTTGGGATAGGATTTGGCTTTCTTGCCGTCTTGGCGGGGGTTTGGGTCTTTGAACGGTGACATTTTGAGTGATGATGAAGTGTTCAAGCGTGAGGATAGAAGTGTCGCGAAACGTGATGTTTGGACTGATAATTGCGAAATGCAGTATTTGATTGAAGTTGAGGTGTTATTGTTGGTTTTGGGGTTTTATTGCGTACCTAGGATTGGGTTTTATCTTCGAGCAATTACTGGCAGGTGAATGAACCGACATGCTGTTCACCATCTTCCAAAGCCCTTTGACGTGAGCCCTTGTCATGAACAAGCTCGTTCTTTGAATAAAGAAAGTGTTGCGTTGTGAGCAGCCCAGCCCTCTCTGATTGGTCAGATTGAGGCCAGTTAGCTTGGTAAGGTCAACCCGATGGTCACCTTCAATTGAAGGAAACAAAGCTCTTTCAACTAAAGCTAGAATACTCGTTTTAACTAATCTACACAATATGAAACAAAAAAATATGGGGGACATTGTTTTCAGGTGAGAGCAGGCACAATGATGGTCTGCGCTATGGCCCCAATAAACCATAGGTCCTTGGGAGCGGTAGATATCGGTGATTGCGGAGCAATGTGTGGGAAAGATCGGTTAATGCAATACCGAGCGTTATGCTCGCTTAAGCTGTCTAATCAAGGTTAGACCATGCATTTATACAGGAAAAAAGGTACATTGCCTCTAAGACAATCTACTGCAGGCACGAAAGCTTAAAATTTACTAAGACCCTACTCTGTGATTACTTCTTTAGGATATGTTTTGTGAAACTACCTATGTAACTGGATTTGTTCGCTTAAACGTGTTTAGTCCCGCAACTCCATTTTCCCAGTTCCCTTCAAGTGTACGGCCTGCACGGTCAGGTCCCTTATATCGATACTAAACCCCAGGGGACATGTAATTATTAATAATCTCTAATTATATAATGATATATTTATAAGTAAGTATATATATATGATAGCCTAATAAAGTCTATTATCCCTGTAATTGACTCAGGTATAGCATCTTAATGCAATATAGACATAATTGCGTTATTGACTTTCTTGACCATTATGCTCTATTGCAGTAGAAACTTATAACTTGATCTGCTATGCGATGGCCAGTTTGCTACCGAAGCCAATTATTGGCTTGACTTCCAGAGGCCTAGGCGAGATCTTAACAGACAACCCTCAATTCCAGGAGTACATAACTCTACTACTAGAGCTCATCCTTCTTATACGGATCAACCTTGATATCCTTCTCCTTCTCCTTCTTCACACCCAGCGGATTCCCATAGGCATCATCAGGATCATCCCCAACACAATGATGGCACCAGAATAAATTCCCGGGGTCGTGCGCCCTCTTGACCGCCAGCAACTGCTCATACCTCTTCTCACCCCAGTACCTATCCGTCCAGTTGTGCATCACATACGAGCTCTCAGAGAAATAACTGTTCCTCCCAAGCTTGTAGATCGTGTCCTCGCACTGCTTCGTCGACAACGTGCGCGCGTTCCACAACATCAGACCTGAGCGGAAGCCGGGAGATATAGCTGTGTCATCAGGCTGTGCACTGCCGAGATTGCCGGTGATTGACGTGTAGAGGTAGTGAAAACCGCAGCGGTAGCCCATCGGGTCAGGGGATGTTCTGTCGGGAGTTTTGAGGCTGTTTACGCAGATGTCCAGCACGTCCATCATCGTCGAAGCAAACTTTGTCTCCATATCTTCTCTAGAGACAAAGACGGAGTTTTGAGAGCCCGTGGCATCGTCGGAGGGCTCGTGTGGAGCTGGCAGCGGGTTCATGACCGAGAGCTGGAACTTGTTCGGCGGCATAGAAAGAAGATAGTCATACGCCGAGTTGAAGTTGTTCTCCTGAACAGTCTGTGTCTGCAGCACGTCTTTCAGACTGTCTCGGAACATAACATACTCCTCCTCCTTCTGGCCTCCAGCGTAGAAGTACTCAAAGTTGAATTTCCAGGTGGCAGTGCAGAGATCCCCCTTCTTGTACTTACTGGTGTCAATGAAGAACCCAGGCTGCGTGCTCACCTTGGAGTTGAGCCTCAGCTGCCACTCTGCAAATCGAGGCCACATCTCGCGCAGCCACTCATATCCAAACTTGTCTTTCGAGCCAGGGCAAAACGTGCCGGTCTGAGACATGAAGACACGACTCAGACCTCCAGCAGGTACAGCGTGAGCGCGCAGCGTCATGGAGAGAATGATGCCCCAGACACCGCCGCCACCACCGCGCATGGCCCAAAACAGCTGAGGATTCTTCCGACGACTGACGATCTTCCTGTGAACGACAGCCTGGCCATGTGCATTGCGACCGACTTGCAGAACTTCAATCTCCAACACGTTATCGACTCCGAGGCCCATGGAGGGTGCAAAAGGACCGTGGCCGCCGCCGAGATGATATCCCGTCATGCCAACGGTAGAGCACCACCCCGACGCCACGACACGGTCATGCTTGGAAGAGAAAGCATGCATCTCAGCAAAGATGGAGCCTGCGCCAAAGCGGAATGCACCAGCGGGAGCCAGCTCTGGATCCTCGTTCCAGGTTGGGAGGAACTCCTTGTTCTTGAGCAGGATCGTGCGGATAAGGATGCCGCCGGTGGGACATGAGTTGCGGCTGTTGTACTCGTGGCCAGTGCCAGCTGTTGCGATGCACAGGCGATGCTGCGCGGCGAATTTGAGCGCTGCTGTTATATGACGCTGGTTGAGTGGGAAGACGACGATGTAGGGGTTCCAGTTGCGGTATTCATTCTGGTGCAGTGCTGCCTTGCACATTTCGGAGGCAGTGTTCCAGATACTCACGCCGTCTTGGATGTTGAAACATGGACGCCGCATGTCATCGATATTCTCGTAATAGTAGAGTGCCTTGAGACCCGTGCTACCTAGACCGTAAAAAGCCTGGTTGTCGATCGATCCTGTTGGGACTGGCGCGGGCTGTGGCGCTGGGTAGTTGCTCCACTGGACGCCGAGACGGGGCACACTGGGGTCCAGAGCTTTCTCTAGCTTCTTGATAGCCGTCTTGGTAGGCCAGCAGCTGGAGTCCTCGGGAGTGCACCATCTATGCTCCTTTGGCGGGGGCAGTGCACCAGCAGATGATGAATCAGCGAGGTCGCACGATCCGGCACCACAGTTATCGTTCTCGGCACTGCATGAGTAGCGACACTCGGCGCTGCATGGATTACACCGTCCCATGGCCCACTGCGTCTTCTTGTCTCCTGATGTACAGTCAAGCACAGCGAAGGAGTGTACTGGCTGGTACTGGAACTTGAAGCGACAGGTAGTGATAGCGCCGCTGGCAGTGGCGAGAAGGACATGGTTAGGATCCTCTCTAGAGTGAGAGACTGAATAGCTTTCCACGCCGCGCTCAGGGTGGTTAGGCCACTTGAGCGTTGCTTGGCCATCGGATGTAAAGCTCCAGTTCGCGAGGCCTTCCTCATAGTGCTTGGATACTTGCAGTGAACGCCAAAAACCCAGAAGCGACGTAGGTGCGCCGGCAATGCCAGGCTGGGAGTGGCTAACAGGGCTAGGCTCAGACTTAGACTCAGCCTTGGTATCGGATTTGGATGACGCTGACTTGGCATCCACAGAAAAGGAACATCCTTTCGCTGATGCTTTGCAGCGAAACATGAGAAAGTTACCGCAGCCAGGTGTGTCCATCGCAGCGTAGAAGCTCGCCGGCGCCGGCTGACCAGTGTGATTGCAGGCCAGGAAGGCCACCTCAAGCTCGCCAATATCTGGCAGTCGCTGCACCAAACACTCCTCAAGTCTGTTTCCACCGCATCGCAGAACCAATTCTTTAGACCCGCGTCGCTCATAGCTGCAGCTCTGGGGATACGGACTGTCCGTAGTCACCGTCAAGGACTTGTCGGTAAAAGTCTGTGCGAACTGAAACTTGCCAGACCCGCCCTGCTCAGCGCCGAAAGAGCGCCATGTGCCCTCCCACGGTGATATTTTGTTGCTCTTGCTAAAAGCTGGCATGGCAAAGTCAAGCACAGCAAAATTGTCCATTCCGTCGCTGTTGGCTTCGCTGTCAACCGGCGCATTGCTCGGATCAAGCTGAACAGTGCTATCGAGCTGCGCTGGCGGACATAAGTCCCAGCTATCACCACACGAAAAGCACTGATCAACACAATCGCCCGACATGCGCGGCACGCTCTGTACATCAGTGCCCTCCCAGCCCACGGTTGCGAGATACGCGCACTGCACACAGCCTGCGCTGACATTCGACTCCAGGTCATCTGAACTGGGATCATCAAGCTGTTGACGCAAATCGGGGTTGGCATTGAACTCATTCGCCAGCACAAACGCGGTGCGGAAATAAGTCTCCTGCGACAGACGGAATGCGTTGCCATCCGCACCAGGGATGACAGCGCAGGTGCCGTGCTTCATCCACTCTGATAATATGAAGCATTGCATTGTGTTTCCGAACTTTGGGTCCGTCGGCCAAAAGTAGTTCAGCAGAGTACGAAACGTCTTGAGAATCGTCTCATCAAATTCCTCGCCGTGGAGACACCCATATGGCTGGTCTTTTGCACCATTTCCTCCCGAAGAGCTGGGCCAAAGACCGTGCAGCGTATACTTGGCTGATTTAGTAGAATCAGAGTCACCCTTCTGCATCGCCAGCGTGTAGGCGTCAACGGGTAGAAGTCCGGAGGGATGGTGCCCGGAAGTGCAGAGTAAGTAGGGAGGAGGCTTTTGCTGCTTCTGACCGTTCTTGATTTTGAAGCAGGCGTTGTTCCACTTGAGATTGCATGATGCAGCTTGGTAGTTGAGGGGGTTGAATTGGCGTAGGGGTATGGGGTTGGCGGAGCAGTCGTCTGACATGCCGGTGCACTCGGCTGATGCCAGGCAGACCAAGCCTAACACCAGTGCAAGGTGGGCGTGCCAAGTCATGTTAGGCCAAGGTGGAGTATAATATTCGGTTGTCTATTGTTGTATTCTTGTGTTTTATGTGTCCAGGTTGGGGATTCGAGAACCGTTACCTAGCTCTCTATATATTATCCCAACAACTAACTTCAAAGCTCCCTTGACGACCCTCCCTCTCGCAGCTTCTGTCCTCTCAGCTACCATTCTGCCGGCCTAGCCTCGCCATGTAAGAGCTAGAGGTCTACTAGTCGTTGCGGCTGAGTACGAAAATTGATGAAAACGGTAAAGTCGCGGCAGCCGGTGCTTGGTGGCGGACGGAAGCACGGATCAGGCACTCAAATGATTGGAGGCGGAAGTTCGGGTGGCTTCACGGATTAGTCCAGGCCCAAGTCATGGAGGGATTGGGGCTCCCTGCTCCATTTCAGAACAGCTCAAAAGGTATGTCAGCTAGCCACGGCGACTTGATATCCAATTGAGAGTGGGCTCTGTCGTTCTATTCCACGCCATCAAATATTCATGGTATACCATAAGCTGACAAAATCACACTTTTTAGGCCTTTGGTCAAATGAGGATACCAGCTTCGAATCTAAAGAGCGTTATGAATCGCATGAGTTACACGCTAGTCGTTATAGAGCTGGTTCAGGCTAACAGTCAATAACCCTACCACTAGTTCCCAATCAGGCAGGGCTGAACTCTGAAGACGGGAAAGGGTCGTTAGATCGACTAGATCGCCAAGCCGGTATCGTCGATAGGCACCGCCGCTAGTAAACGGAGCTTGCGGGAGTAAGCTTTACCCCTCAACTCATCCAGACCTTCTGATTTGATCATTTACGACAACACCTCGTGCTGTGCCAGTCTCGAGTTTCATATTCTGTTTATTCAGTGCCCTCGCATGCCTGGATCCACACGATATGACACGTTATGAGCACAAATAAATATAGAAACCTCTGATGCAAAATTAAGGATCTTGTAGAAATATTTCGTTGGTCCTGACTGAGTAAGCGGCAATTATACACAGACAAGGGCTGCTGTTTCATAAACAGTCAAATGATTTTCTTATTTTCATCAATCCAGGACTAAGACCGGTGTATAGTTAACTGACTTTCCAAGTCAGGTAAGGTAGAAGTTAAACAAGAGAGTAGATTGGCACCTTAGATAACAGACAAGTCCCAGCAAGTCCGGCAGTTATGCTTTTGTTCAGGTCCCCTTCAAAGAAAACGTCATATTTCACCTTTTAAGGTACGCTGAGTGGTGTTCGTGTTAAAAATTCATTTCTCAAATAAAGGAAATACGCTATTCTAGCTTTTCTTTGTCAAGCCAGGGCGTTGATCAATCTTTTATGTTCGTTCGCAGCAATGGTACTCTCAATAATTCCTGAACAGTCACCGGCCTTACAACAAGATACCACTAACATACAGCTTGCTCTGATGAACATAGCACTTTGTATGCGTTAATGGCAATACATAAGTAGGCTTAAATGCGACCGCATATGAGAAACCACAACACTACTCAACAATACCATCACAGCAATCCAAGATCATAAACCAAAGGATCTTCCATTCACTTTCACTGCAAAAATGGCCCCCTTTATGGATCTCTACAACCAAATCCTGTCTCTCTTGATTCAACTTAGACGCTCTATCAAAGAAACGAAGAGGACATATCCGGGAGCTTTCAACCGGAATCCGGATGACCGCAGCGGCACTATCATCCCTACTCCAACAGAAATGGCAGCGCTTGTGGAGCATATGCTCCAGGTTGGCCCGCTAGTCGACGCCTTGGTGATCATCGCCACTGAGGACTGGGATCGGCGGCTGGCTCAGGACCACAGACGACAATTCTTGTTGCTACAGGAGGAGGTGCTCCAGATGCTGCAGGATCTGAAGAAGTTGGAGAGTACTAACCAGGGGAACGATGGACCCTCAGCTGGTACCGTTGACTAAGTGAGTATGTTTCGCGATTGAGGGTCAATGATAGTTTTAGGGTACAAGAACAAATTGCCGAGATACTCAATTACCAATTCAGAGGAGTAAATTGATGGAAATTTATCTATAAGCCTAGAAGTTTTCAGTGATGTGTTTGACGTAACTGAATAACCGGCGTTATAGCCACGTCCTATTAAAACCCTAGTTCTTGCTATCAAGAACGTTACTTTTTACGTTGTACTATCCCTGCAAAATCCTAGGCAACAGTGAGAGCGACGAGTATTTCGCCCGTATGTGTTTTTTTTGGTGTTCTTTACCTTTGTGGCCTTGAGGCTGAAGCCTCTTTTTGACCCCTCAACTCCCTGCTGTGCTGCGCCCGCGTTGCCTTCATGTTCAGCACGCAGAGAAGGTCTATCGCGAACGACGAATTTTAGAGTCCATCTACTAATATCACATCTCCCTAATAGCCTGTCTCGGAGTATGGCGCCACCTACTGTCCTCCCACTCAGCAGCTACCTGGATAACGCATATTGCTTGGCAAATGCAACGCCACAGACTCTATATTCAGGCGCCAAACTCTTTTTAACGCTCTACCTATAGGTCCCACGATAAATACTTTTCTTCTGTGATAAGGTTTACTTTTAGAAGCTTACCAAACTGGAGCCTACGAGGGCCGCGTATAAAAAGGGGTGCCCCGGCCTGCCGATCCAGCAAAAACTTTTCTTATCAATCTCTATCTTTCTACCACCAACCATATCGTCGCAAACGCCCGCACACAGTTTATCTTCACCCTTCAATATGGACTTGTTTTCCCCTCTCCTCAGCAGGCAACTGAGGTTCTACACTCGCTTTCAGGAAGAGAAAAGGCCTCTCCCTGAAATGCAAGTTTGCTCCCCGACACTATCTTGACTGGAGTTACTGCATAAGTTGCCTAGTTCTTCATCCTCTGGTATGTTTTTCAGACGGCAAAAAGTTTGCATGTCTTGCCAAGACGGGCTACATTCGGCTTTGTGAGCACAAAGTCATCGACTGGTATTTTGTCCAGCAATTTGTCAATGGCCGGGATTCGCCCTCAAATCAGAGTCGGAAATTCGAAATCATGAGGTGCGAAGATCCGAGTCATTATAGTCCCTGCAGCAATGGACTTGGTGGGCCAAAGGCGGAGATGATCACGTATGCAACGGCAACGGGTGGGGGCTTGTTGTTGCTCACATTTACCGGTAACTCGGATCCAGATCTGGCGCCAGATCAAAGCATCTGCGACGTTTCTTACGGCATGAACTACCAAATTGGAACAATGAATCTCCCAATGAGAGTCATTGAGGAAGCCGTTCGATCGGTGCGAGAGAAAGGCGGGAAGCACTTTGCACCAGAACGTATATCGGGAGTTTTACCCGAGTTGAGTGCTTTCAACCTTGAAGATGTCTCCACTGATTCCCCATCCGAAGATGGCCGTGTCAAAGTCATACACCCAAAAGACGCAAACCCACGAATAAGTCGCTCATCTCCACTGCACGACAATCTAACGCAAGGTAGCGTGCGGATTACAGCCGGGCCATGTACCCACACAGGCTCCAAGGCCAATCATTCTTGTATTGCCGTTCGCTACCAGCGCAGTATACGCGTCGGATGGCCACAGATATCAGGGAAACTCCTAGATGAGAATCTGCCGAGCCACGATTGGTTTCATGCAATAAGCAGGGAGTCATACACTTACCGGGGCTCCTCTGGCGTTGCTGAGACATGCCACGATAAAGACTGTCAAAACTCCTACGCGATATCAAGTAGCCGATTACATTCCGCACCCTCAGAAGTCGAGCTATCAAGGCGACAGATAGTGACAGCGTCAGATATGCGCATAAACAGTATATATCCATAACGGGGTCACACATATTGTTACACCCAAGAACAAATGCTAGTAGAAATATTTATAGAATAAAGAATAGTTTATTAAACTTTTCTGACTTACAATCAGCATATCAATAACTTCACACACTGAATGGCATGTATCGTAAGTGCTTTAGTTCAGATGGCCCTTGGGGGATTTTCTTATTTATAGCGGCGGATAACCCCTCGTTAAGCTGCAGCCAGAAACGGAGAGCATTGGTGAATTTTGATGAAGTTTGGCGTAATGAACTTTCAAACTGATGAAATTTATTTTAAGGAGTTTTAATATAAGAAACTTTAGTGGGATAAGTCTGGGACTGATAGAATTCAACATTACGAAGATAGGTTTATGCCAACCATTGCTGAGATATATTTAGCCGTCTAACCTGATATCTGCTAACCTCACAAGAACTGAGACGAGACTAGACTCGATTGATAAATACTCAATGCTCTTTTTAATCATGCTGAATATACCAAGCTACACGCTACTCTTACTAACCTCAATACTAACTAGCTCGACATCGCTCCCTGTTTGCTTTTTATCACTCATATCCCCTGTAATCTCACACGAATGAGACCCAGACCATGAATCATTTTGACCATCGCCCCTAAGACCTGACCCCTCAATTATCTCTTCAAAACCGCTCTGGCCGGTCCGCCGTATCGCATGGCCGGACTTGGAAGGACGTCCGGATTCCTGGATGTTGTAGTTGACTCCCTTCCTATGGAGATATGGTCTAAGAGCTGGGATGCAGCAGATGACGAGACCGATGTACACGTCGAGCGAGCACCAGAGTTCTGAGAAGAGGTCAGATGATGGCTCGCACTTGCATCGTGAGATGGACTTGCCGATTATCGTGAAGGATCGAAAGTCTTCGCTGTCGCCCAGCTGGATAGTCAAGAAGCGCGTGAGAGAAAATGCGATGTCGATAATGCCCAGGAGAAAGATGCAGTAGACACTGACTTTGACCTTCGTTCGCATGTTGAGATTGTGGATAATCAAGAACGGCAGGCAGAAGACTATCACAATGTTAGTTCCATGTCATGTCAAGAGTAGCCGGTGGACTTTCGCGCAATGCTTCCAACGAAATGCAACACCCAGTTGATTTGGAACATGAGAATTAACGAGGTAAATTTGCATGCTTCTTCAGGCTTCGTGACAGACCTATGATCAGTATTAGAAAACGAATTTTGGATATGATTGTTCTGTAGTACCAGTTCCGTTGGATTGGATAGCACAGAAAAAGCTGCAGTGAAATGGTTACGATGTAGGCGCAGACGCAGTACACAACCACGATCCAGACCATGAGTCTTCTGATGACCATGAACGGCGGAAATAGCTGTAGATAGATGACAAGAAGCGATGCCTTGCAGAGATAGAAAGTCGTGTAGAATGGGAAAGGATTGATCCAATTGTACTGCAACTTTGATCAGCTCAACCCCGCCGTGCAATTTTCAGTATTTACCTTTCGGACTCTAATCTGCTGCTCCAGCGGAGCATCCCAATTAGACAGAGTATAATTAATCCAAGGATGTAAAACACCCTCTTTAGCATACAGTACGTCGAAGAAACCGGTGACGAAGGCGGTGCACCATGCTGATATGCGTAGCCAGTCTGCTGTTACGAGGCGCTGCTTTTGTATGGCTAATCGGAGGTAGATTCGGGCACCGATGATTATCGCGGAGACGGTGATGAGGGCGTAGATGACGGCCTGAGTGCACGATTGTCAGAAATCGAGGGTCCAAATGGCTGGCGATCGATCGCATACCAAAACAACAACACCAGACGGCCCTGCAGGCATTTTGGCGAGTGAACTGATCAACGCTTCAATTCAATCTCGTGGGGAGGTCGACCCGGCTGGGGACATGGGGGGTTGAAAGGAGTTAAGCAAAAGACGAGATGGAACGCTAGTCCAGAAGCTTCGGCAGATACGCCACTGGCACCACTGACCATGCTTCAACACCATACCAAAGGTCAAGAGACTTTGGATGGTGACTATAATGGTGTGCGCCAGTTTGGTGTGCTTCTATTCTACGCTGTGTGAATGGTCAAGAGCAGATTGCCATACACACCAGCGCTTTGACGGTGGCTGTGAAGTTCAGGAATAGACTCGGCACTAACGAATTTCTCGGGTTGGGGAACCGCGACAGAGTTTACGCTATACCCCTCGATCACTGGAGATCAGCCACGGGCGATGAATCTTGTCCAGATACGGTCTTGTGACGGAGAATATTGAAGTGAGAAGCATTTTGACGCTGGGCCGAGACTTGAGAGGGCGGAGTTGTGATGTAATTTGGGATGGACATGAATCGCGAGTTCAGCCACAATTGTATTTTACAACAACAGGGAAATTCTGCAATTGGGAGATGGATATCTGAACAGGCTGATACGATTGTCTTGAAAGGAGCATAGTTGTGAAAGAGATCCTGATACTTAGAAAACCCCATCACTTTCTCGCTGACAAGAAAGAGGGAGGCATTGGGTATCTGACCCCCTGAGCTAGTGCCCAAGTTTAGTCCGTCGCAGAGTCTGGAGCAGGGTACTAGCGCTAAGATGGCCTGAATCGAGCTTAGGCTCTGCACATCATCTTCACTGGCGTTCTTTTGACTTTCATCTTTTGCCCGATGCATGCCAGTGCTTATCTACTAAAATAGCCCGGGACGACGCTAGTCGGAAATATTGGATTCGCAGGAATGTCGACTGAATGTTGCGAAGCGCCACGATATGTTCTTACTGCGATGAGCACAATCATAGCGAACTTCGGCAATCGGACACGCGATCATTTAGGAGAATGAACACTATAGAGATAAAAGCTCTCCGCCAATATTAACGTCCATGTCGGTCTATATTTGCTCTGTCCGGAACTATTTCTGCTAACATTAAGCATTTACTGACGCCCATAGCAGAGTAAAACCTGACTGGCGTAGCTGTAAATTGTCTACATTGGCATCATGTTGAACGAGCAGTTAGCAGTAAGCGACAAACTTCTCAATCAACCACAAGCGTCGATTCTCCTTGTTCCAATGCTCAACTCAGTGTTACCTACAGGAGATTAGTGCTTCTGTAGGACATCGCCACGTGGCTGGACTTGTGTCAGAATTGGAGACCCTGCTCCCCCAAACCCACCGAACGCCACAGAGCCGCGCTCTCGAAATACATACCAGAGCAGACTGTACGACATTTTTTTGGAGCTTTAGACCCGTGCTTATTTTAATCACATATTGTCAGAAGTAGTGCATTGTCAATAGGATATGTATCATTAATAGGACCAATATCTACAGGAGTAGCAAGCATTTCCAACGATTGAAGCAGTGTGCGATGAGACATTCCATCTGCGGCCTTTTGCAAGCTCTTGTTTGGCCAGATCTACCCGCGCTGAGACACCTCTGCTCGGACATAGCAGAATGATGGCAGCAAAATAGGCTACATTGGGCGAGTTCTCAAGGGCCAATTTTAACACAACGAGCAGCCAATAGAGACGAAAGGGTGCTGTTGAGGCATCGCTGCAATAAGGACCGTCTCCTAATAAGTGCTGGTCACTAAAGAGGTCGTGTTGATACTGAGATCCGAGATATTGCCATTCATCACTAATTGCCATGTTGTGTTAATCACAAACAGAACCCCAGTCGTAGTGATTCCGCTTTTTGTGAGACAATCTATTTCAGCATAGTATTGTGCAACGATAGGCCGAACTTACATCGCACCTATACCTCTCAGTCCGCCCAAAGACCTTTAAACAAATCCGTTGTCGTGCCCAACCGGCTTTAACAAGGGTCATTCCAAGGAAGGTTTATATCCAGTTGAATTCGCTTTTCCGCCCAATCATCTTACATGGAATAGGCAGATCTGTCCAATGGCAGGGGTAAGACCCAGGACCACTCACTCCACAATGCGGAAAATGGCACAGGATTAAAGTCAGCTTGCACCATGGAATAAATTTCCATCAACCGATGCAGTACTGTTTATTCTCTCATGTAAATTTTGCTAATTTATCACCGCTTTTGAGGTTTATTTGCGAAAAGTCGGCCGGTGCGAAAATTGTAGGAATTCCAGCTGCTCCTAAAGCTGAAGAGGTATTCTCTGTTTGTTTCATTCTTATTTATAGTGGGAATAAACCTTGCTATATATGGCTTTGCGATTTGAGGAGAGCTGCTGTTAGTAGATTTAGAGTTCTATAGTGCTTGCCGTCATCTTAAGGGAACACTGAAAATACATGCATTAGTGTCGCTGATTGGCAGTTGCAGCTTCAATACTAAATGGCTCACTTTCTTTTGAGAAAGGTAGGCCATTCAACATCGCAACGTCCATGGCGGTGTTTCTGCCTAATAGTAAAGCTTAGGGATACAGAAGGCAGCCATCTGTTAACGCATACTAGGACTGAAGGGCTTGATGTGTAGATCAACTAGAATTTCCAGGACTAAATAATAAATTTACGAATTGTGTTATCCAATAATAGCTGAATTGTTCTGAAAACGGGCATAAAGAAGCACTTTTTATATACATTCCCTACTTAAAACACTAAGGTCCCCTTAGAAACCTATAGAGAAATAAGCTGTCCTATGTACCAAGCAAGCTGCGCCAAGAACTTCAGGGTAGGTAAAGTCTCAAGTAGCTACCTCTCTTGCTTAGCTTTATGTAAGGAACCCGTACTTATATATCTCTAGTAGTCAAATTCCAATTGCTAGCGCTATGGCATATTGGACCGCTATAAAAACGGGTTTAAATACAGTGTCCATATAAAGGACAACAGCTTCTTGGCCAAGTAATTATAGCTTTCATGATGCAGTCTAACATAGTGCGTCAATATCGTCATAAAAAAGACAGTTATAAGCCCCATAATCATACTGGGGATTGGAGTGAGTTAGCCGGGTATAACGCCAGTCAAGGCAGAATATACCCGAGTGGGTGATGGTAAAAGTCGTACACCACTGGAAGGCCACTTATGACTCAGAAAAGAGTTTTGATAAGTTGAACGATTAACTAAACCGTGAACATGATAGTGGTGGTATTATTGTAGGATCTGGACCGTTCCGCTAATTCGAATATAATAATCCGAGTTATTCAGTACTTATTAGGAGTCCTTGGTCAAAGGGATTGAGCACACCGATAAATACCAACAGGCTTTGACCGTAAAAGAAATCATTGTCAGGCAAGTGCGAGTTCTTTTACGCTTGTGTTCACTTTAAAAATTGCTCAAGATGTGTCTTTGTCCTCTAAGTATCTAATTAAAGATTTATTTGATGTCAGATTACTGAACAGTGCGCAGGTTGTCTTTCAGGTCCGAATGGCTTTAATACTGCTCACTCACTTAAGATTCCCTTATTTCAGAGTTTTGATACATTTGCAGCAAAAGACTCATGCCAATTAACATGCACCTTGCTACGATAACATAGAAGGATTCCCTGTATAACAATGAATTATTGATATTATTCCTCATACCTATGAGTGCTGCTTGAAAGTCGATAATGTCCTGCTGATATTTGTATACAAGTAAATTAGCATTCAGCAATCACAGTATAGTACAATTTGCAATGTCAAAACCAAGAATGGGAGACGGTTCAAGAGAGCAACATCTGGTAGCAATGAGATTTAAAAGTTATCTAGAGGAGCGTCGTAACTCCAACCCTAATTGCCTAATCCATCCTCCATACCCACTCTAACTATATCTAGTTCTACCTTTGGCATTAGAGCGACATTCTCGATATCAGCCGTCCATATTGATCCATCCACTTCCAATGATCCCCATCCTCCTCCACCGTCTTACCATAATCAAGCACAAGACAATGAAGAACCACATTGCTTTCATCCTCTATCGCACTAAAGTCAGGCTTCAAAGAATTGAAGATACGACAAGGGTGAAGAGTGATACGATTAGCCCGAGGCTCCTCATCATCAAACATGTTGATCCCCTCACACCCACTATCTCCCTCCTCGACTGACTCGGTGTCTAGACAATTGAGCAGCATGTATATATCTCCTTCTTTGTGGCATTCAATGCCGTCAACGATATGCCAGTGTTTGCAGCTCTCTTGGGCAGGACACTCGTTGGCCTTCCGGTGTCGATATCGAAATGGCGTGACCCGGGGATCCATGTCATCCAGTGTCCACTCGAGATAGGCCTTTGAGAAGGCTCGTTTGGTAATTGGAGGTCCTCTCTGTGTGAGATAACGTCGATCCAACTTCGGATCGTCTCTTGCTTCAGACATGCAGGTCAGCAGAGATGCTTTACTAGCTAGGACCCCTGTTTCCGATCGTTTGGGCGCCTTCTTTTTGGGCGGCTCTGCGTCTGTTGATATAGTCGCTTCATTCAACTTTCGTTTCTTCTTGGGCGCCACCTTGTCCGATGACTTTTGTGGTAGGATATCTGCAAGTTGTTTCTCAAGAAGAGTGACACGTTCCTTGAGACGCGTCAACTCTGCCTCGCAATTGCAGCTGGGATGAAGACGATTCATGATTCGTAAATTTCGTAGTTTTGAGTAAACGAGAGGCTCTTAGTAGTAAGACTAACCCTCTAAGAAGTCGCATAGAGCGGGTGATGATGAATTGGAGCTATTTGTAAACTAACCTGTTGAGTTGGCCTGAAAGTAAAGTTAAAGTATTAAGACATCTATGAGCTCTTATAGCTAATTGCTTCCTTCCTTGTCTTAAGGATATAAGAAGTTCATAGAACAGCATAAGTAAACATCCAGGCGAGGATGTGAAAGAATGAAGAACACGGATAAATTGTGAGTGACTAACGGTGAAGATATTCAAAGAACAATATGAACAATGCGAAATTGACTGAACGAATATTCATAACTTGCAGACAGACAAAGAAACTTACATCGGAACAATAGCTGGCGAACAAGAACACAACCAAGGCATGTAATATGTTCACTAGCTCAACAACGCTCGTCGTCGAGGGACTCTCTCACATGCACTTCTTTGATATATCACTGTGGTGTTGCACGGCAAAGGGGTGTCTCATTGCATCTGCCGTCCATCCTACACGAGGATCATCACGATCATTCATCTAGGAGAAACGTCCCCATAAGGCTGCCGGAGTAGCCGGCTATCTCGGTATTTACCCGTAGTACCTCAAGTAATGTAGCGCATGGTGACTGGTAAGAACCATTGATACAACCACCAGACGTCCCCTTACAGTACCCTGCGAACATCGGTTTACAATAGCCAAGTCTACCACTCGAAGTGTTCCCATGCCGAACTCGCTTACATTAAGGGTACCTTCCTTGCCCTTCTCCTTTCTTCTATAAATATGATGCGTCTCAAGATATTGCCTGCTTATGCTAAATTCTCTAGCTAATATTCTAAGCTAGGTACATTGGTAAGACACTCTCCTGAGTCATCGGCCAATGCTTTCATCAAAGACAGCTCAAATGTATTGTCAGTGATTGCTCAGGCTACAGGAAATCGGCTCACTATGCTCCAGAAAAGAACACGAGGTTATGCGGCAACAGTGGGATGAAGTCCTGTAGCGGTGAGCAAGTCAAACAGAGCACAGGTTCCTGTTCTTGGCGGTCGCGGAGCGTAATCATCCGGGCGGCGCCCTATTTATCCAGAACATTCCTAGTCAGGTACCAATTACCATTTCTGGCAAATGCGGAGTACCATCCTCCGTGTGCTTCGGCATACTCCTTTCATACATATGACGCCAGATATGCGGGGTAAACAAGACTACCTCGGATGGATAAGTTGGAGATGGAAATAGCCTCTTGAAACAATACTCGTTTCATCCATGCATGCGACGCTGTCTACCATTTGATCCTGCCTGCGACGGGCATGCAGTATTTATTCTTTTTCCCGGCTGCGGGGTCTCGCTTCGGACGTGCTGCCTCCGGATCTCGCGGTATTTGACACCGGCATTTGAACCTCACCTCAGCTGACATTAGAATTTAGACTTGGTTCGGGTATAAAGCTGAGATACACCGTGGCCAAGCAATTGAATAGCACACATTAACAATTAAGCAGAATCGGAGAATTCATTGATCATGCTTGGACTCCCCTCACCTCGCAAGCTGCTCGCACAGCTGAGCCTGGGCGCTAGCCTTGTTGCGGCTCAGCTTCAGACCATCAACAATTTTGGAAACACCTATGGCACGCAGCTAACCATGCAGGCCTACATTCCCAGCAACCTTCCTTCCAGCCCAGCAGTTATGCTCGCCGTAAGTCATCACCATCAAATCTCGCAGCTCTTGACCTAACCAGTGGATACAGCTTCACGCCTGCGGAGGAAATGGACCAGGCTACTTCCAGCAGACCAAGTACAAGTCCCTTGCCGATCAAAAGGGCGTCATTCTCATCTTCCCCTCATCGCAAAAGGACTTTAACTGCTGGGATGTCGCCAGCACCAAGACCCTCAAGCACGATGGTCAGGGCGACAGCCAGGTTCTCGTCAGCATGGTCGACTATATCATCAACACATACAGAGCCGACCGTAACAAGGTTTACGTCACCGGTACCAGCTCCGGATGCATGATGACCAATGTTCTCGCGGCTACGTACCCGGACCGTTTCGCCGCTGCGACATGCTACTCTGGCGTTGCTGCTGGATGCATGGCTGGATCTCCTGGATCGAGCCCCATTAGTTCTGACCGTGTCTGCTCTGACGGGAAGATCATCAAGACTGGACAGCAGTGGGCTGACCAGGTCAAGTCGATGTATCCTGGGTATAGCGGGGCGTACCCTCGGTTCAAGACTTGGCACGGCACCGCGGACAATCTTGTCTATTACAGAAACCTTCTTGAGCAGATTAAAGAGTGGTCCACGATTCAGGGTGTTTCTTTCTCGCGCAACGAGACTAACACTCCTCAGTCTGGCTATACCACCATGATTTACGGGGACGGAACTAAATTTGTTGCTGTATCCGCTGCTGGAGTCGGACATGTCGTACCTACTCATGAGGATCTTGACTTCAAGTGGTTCGGTCTTTCCTAAGGTCGCTGATGTGAGAAGCCCGGTATGGATCCGTGCTACTATATGTGGATTCGGTGTTAGGGAGGGCAGACATCAGGATCTAAGTGGAGGAGAGAAACAGGAGCAACAACAAAGAGGGAGGACAGAGGGCAAATTGTGTACATAGCTATTGTTACTACATTCTTCTCAGTACATAACAACTTCATTCGTTTGGGTATATAGCTACCAGCACTCTATTTCACACTGCCAAGACCGTCTTTCCTCTCACCATGACTGTTTGCATCGTAGTCCCCCATCGCTCGCTGCGTGTAAGGAAATCGAGGTCATTGCGGCCTCTACCCAGAGCCGTGCTTACAAATAGGACAACGAAAAAAAGTCAATTCAGATGGAAATAAGCTTTTTTATTAATAGATCATGCCATTAGAACAGTCTACGCCATTCTCCACTTTCTTGTTTCATGTCTGTCCCTCGGGCGCACCAGCAGGTCAAAGTTCCCAATCCCAAAACTCAAAATGCTCTGAAACGCAAGACTCAGCGCTCCCGGCCAGTCCAAAGCAGCCTTAAAAGAATGAAATAGTTGGAATGAGGTTCATGAGTGCATAAACCAACTCTAAATCTCATTATAATTTTTAATTTCGTCCTCAAACTCAGCATAAGTAAACAAAATGCTTGCTTACAACGGCTGCATTTTTTGCCAAAGCGTTAAACATCGAAAATGATATAAGCAGGCGTTTCATCATCATCCATCTCAACGGCCAAACTCCAAGACCTCCTCTCAAAATATCGCACGAAGTCAGGTTTTCCACAATGGTGCCTCAACCGCTCAACCTCACCAAAAACTCCTATCTTTCAGCTCCAGCAGCAGCGCGAGCCTATGGACCCAAGACACCAACAGATATACCCAGCTTCGCCCAGACCTCAAGTCCACCACGCATCATGGCCCCAAGACAGCGTCGCCGCGCTACAGTCATCGCACTCAACCGCAGAACACCTCCCCACATTGCTTTGGAGTCTCCCCCACGCAGGCGTAAAAGCGCGACTGATCGTCGTAGGAGTTTGCAGTCGCATTTATGCTCTGCGCAGAGTCTCACATTGCGCAATCCAAGCAATGGCCTTATCCAGAAGGGCTCTGCGATACGCAACAATTATTGCGACTGCACTTCGGGCTTGGACATAAAATTGACCGAGCTTTGCGTCGAGCGACCAGATCGCGAACCTTTGCGGTCACCGGCGTTGTTTGCACCTTGTCGCTGGAGTATTCCTTCACCAACGCCGGGGAGCTCCTTTGAGCAGAGCGAGCAGATTTATCAGTTTCAGGGTCAATGTGATGGGAGTCGGAAGAGCAGACGGGCTACGTGGGCATTTGACGTTGATGGGGGGCTGAACAAATTACCGTCTTGTCCGTTCTGGACATGTCCAGAGTATCGATAGATGCAGGCGGCATGACTCTAGTAGAGTGTTGGACCGAGAGTATTCAATTCTGTATTGACCTGGAGCTGCCTGATCTGCGATTGGTGGCCCGGTATTCGTATTGTATATTTCTTATATGTAAAGCGATGGAGGATTATGTTCGCAAGCAATATTATTTATCTGAATTAACTCTGAACCATAATTGGACTCCTCCGTGCTCTATCGATCTTGGCCTTAGGTTCAGACAGTCATAAAGGACCTTAGGGTGATTTTTATGACAGACTCAGCCATTTCTGTTAATGTTGCTGCTTTAATCTAGTCTAAACACAGCTAGCATGCGCGATACGAAGTGGCCACTATCTGGCGCTACGATTATTGACTCGCTGGCCGGGGTGTTAAACCGGTCTGAGTCATACCGTATACGAGCTAAATTATTGAGTCAGCCTTACCAAAAGGTGACAAACACCATCTCATATATATCATCATGCTTCATATTCATTAGTTCCCCTTCTCCATATTTCCTTTTCCAGCCTTTCAGTCCTTTTTACGGGGTCAATGACAATGCGGCCAACACCACTCGAGCGATCGCGTCTCTGCGACGCATGCACCCACGCATGCTCAATGTCCATCGTCGGTTGTACACCATATACCTGTCCAACCCATAGATCCCAATTCCCCAAAAATGATTATTCTTATCCTAGTAGCTGGGATCTTTTAAACGACATATCGCGCTGGGCAAAGTGGTCAAAGACAAAGCGAGACTTTCTTTCCGAAACAAGTGCATCAGGATGTCATCTTTGCATAATAATCGCACACGCCTTTGATGAAAAGTCAAAAGAGCAGTTTCAGAATCTAGGTAGTGATGAGGTTGTACGGCTTTGCTTCAAATATCGCACTGTTGAACGAGATCCAAGCGGGAAGTTGGGTTGGGATGAGAGGACGAGCATGGCCATTACTGATATTGCGCTGGGAATCGATCTTCCCGATGAGTTTTGGCTGGCGATCCGGTCGGACAAAGGTTCAGTGTTGGAAGATGTGTCATTCGATCTGCGAATGCGACCACTTCAAGGTGATTTTACCAGTGCATGTAAGAAACATGACTGACTTGATCAAAGAAACGGATACGAGTCATGTAATCAAGACCATTCCAGGCAAACATGCCTCGACGATGAACAACCAGAATTTACAGCTTGCATTGAAATGGATCAAGGGCTGCAATCGCTCACATCCCAACTGCAAAGAGTTCCAACCACAACAACCGAATTGGCGTCCAACGAGACTTATCCACATAGGATCAAAAACCCAACAACCGCGACTCGTCATGCCATCAGCAGCAGTACCCTACATTGCACTGAGCTACTGCTGGGGAACCGACAACACCGTCATTCTCACGGAATCAACACTAATTCCATTCCAAAACGAAATCCCTCTGGCGAGCTTACCAAATACCATCCGCGATGCAATCACCACAACAAGAGATCTTGGTTATGAGTACATATGGGTAGATGCGCTCTGCATCATCCAAGATTCCAAACCCGATTGGATCAAGGAGTCCTCACAAATGGGCAGCATCTACGGCTCAGCAGCCCTGACCCTCGCTGCAGCTGGGGTATCGAGCGTAAAAGACCCAATAATCTGCCGTCGCGATCCCCGGGCAGTGAGACCATGCATCGCGAACATCATCCAAAGCTCGGTATATCACCGAGTAAGTTATCCATGGGCTATTTATCCGCACCAACCTGAACGCCTACTATTCGACACCATCAACGAGAGTCCTTTGAGCCGTCGAGCGTGGGCGCTGCAAGAACTCTTGGTATCACCGCGCACGTTGGTCTTTGGATCGAAGCAAATGGTCTGGTCCTGCGCGACGACAGAAGCGAGTGAGACGTTTCCAATTGGCTTGGATCCGAAGTTTAGTACAGTGGTGAACGAGAGTGCAAGTTTATCATATCTTCGCCAGAAACTCATGAGAGCTTCAAAGTTGGAGGAGGAGCCATCAGAGTTTTGGAACGACTTTATTAGTAGATATACCAAAGCTCGACTCACTTTTAGTTCCGATACACTCGTTGCGCTACAAGGCATCGTTGAGAGAATCACTGAAGCAAGACGTGGATCAAAGAAAGGTGCATCGGAGCTGGAATACGCCGCTGGTCTGTGGCGCGATGAAAGTTTCCAGCAGAGCCTCCTATGGCGTCCCAAGGTTGGATCCTCGCCGACCCGACCAGATTATTATCGCGCTCCGTCGTGGAGCTGGGCGTCATTGGATGGCGAGGTTGACTTCTTTGAACAATACATACCGTGGATCTGGAACGGGAAGAAAACGGAGCTTGCAAGGATCTTAGATGTTTGCGTGGAGCCTCAGACTGGGTACTCGCTCTCGACAACTGGGCAGATCAAGTCGGGCCTCATTGAGATGCAATGCCATTTACGGGAGTGCTACTTGATGAAGACACCACAATCGGAAGAATCGTCGATACATCAAGATGATGATGCATATGTCATCATCTCCTCTGATGAGTATAAGAAAATGTCTGAAGATTTCTGCTTGAAAAGCCCCGCAGGAGGAGTCCAACAGGCACACAAATTCGCCAACTCCTGTACTATCGATCTCCCAGAAGAAATACCTTCATCGCAGTGGGTTCAGGTTTATTGTGTTCCTCTGCAATTGGGCTGGTGTCAAACCGATCGCTACGAACAGGCCGTCTGGGAGAGCTACGAGGGCTTAATACTTATCCAAAACGACACCGAAGAGGAGGATCTTTTGACATCTGAAGGGTTCTGCGATCTGTCTCAGACTTTCCGCCGAATTGGAACATTCACATTCGATCTTCATGATGAGAATAGAGAAGCCCGAGAAAATGAACTATTGGGTCCAATGGTGTTTGATAAGGAGGGTAATTGGGAGAGGAAGAGGGAAACAGTCTGCATCATCTGAGAAAAATGGAATAATTTACAATAACGATTATAGATGATTGGGATTTCCATTTCGCTCAAGTTGTGCAAATACTTACTTGGAGACTCTTTCTATCCATTCTGACTTGTCATTATGAGAAAGGGCTAGAGCGACATCACTCACTGGCGCTGTCGTCTTCCCACGATGGAAACCTTTAGGTTTAGTGCGATTAATGGTTTGCTCCACTGGCGCTGACACAATGGGCTAGTCGTGAGCTGGAGAATATTCGCAACCCTTCTCTGCGCTTCGTATGAATAAAGCTGCGATAAGGTGTCGACCAGAAGACTGTTTACCGCTATGAGAAGCGCATGAGTATATTCTGTACTACGAGACCTTCCAAGCACATACGACCATACCTGCAGGAAAATACGGGATCCCGTCCGCTCTCCCATAGTCAAGCCTGTAAGGGGCGGATCAGTAGTTGGGTCGGTGACGACCAGCGAATCCCCGCTGTTGTATGTATTTTTTACTAATTTGATTTAAGTCCCTTCTTTTTTGCAGGCTATCAAATTGGATTAATGGTAATAAATTATGCTATAATAGCGAACACAGTTGTTGTCAAACAGTGGAGTTAAGCGTTTGCCCAGCAATATCTATGGAGTAACTACACTCCACCATAGCTTAATGCTTGCTTAGTTTGGTTTAATGCTGGAAACTCAAATTCGTGATCATTGAACACATCAGCCGCGGTGCTTAATAAGTGTTTCTTATTATTCAAGTCGTTACATGGCTGACTGATCCAGGTAAGTGAGCGCTGTTGAAGTGGCCAAACTTTGGGTGGTGTAGGGTAGGACAATTAGCTGTAACAGATATTACAGCAATAACAGTGTTTATCTTTTCTCAATATGGTTTTTTCTTGTTACATTTCGCATAAAACACATTTGATTCTTCTTTTTCCTTGTTTTGTATTTGTTAGTTCTGTTGGTGAATTAAGCCAGTGCTCGTGTGATGGCCAGTATCCAATTAACTACACCACCACCTTTGACCTTAGCGCAGCGTCATTCCTTTATTGTCGGCCTCTTCTGTTCCTATTGTCCACACCACCAACGCTCAAACTGTGATCCCATTGGGTCTTCTTGACAACCAACGCTGCATTGACCCGGCTAGTTCAGTAATCGAACGAGGGCTACTCTGAACTGTTATTGGGGTATCCATGTGATCAGTTCCAGCTTTGTTCCGCTCCTTCACTCACTATGACCCTCTCGATCTTTCTACGCAGTCGATATCCCAGTCAATAAACCGACACTGAGACGGCATTCTTCATCCCCCAGACAGACTCGCCACCATGGTCGTTCAAAACCGCTATAGTCGTGCTTCCAAGTCCCCTTCACCCTTGGAATCTCCTTCCGTGGCATCATCTTCCAGTTGCGGTAACGCAAGCTCGGGATCATCACCAGAACAAGGCATGTACCCTGGCCTACCTGAATATACCCTCTTCGAAGTCACCATCGGTGTCACTCCCCAGACATTTCAGTCTATCCGGCTTTATTTTCATCGTCTCTGGCAAATTGAGAGGCCTGTTTCATTGCGCTTCCAAGATACCCATATTGTCACGTTCGATGACTCTGTCATCCCCGTCAATGCACTACCTCAATCTCTAGACAAGAAGGACGTCTATCCGGATGATGATGCTGATCACAATGGCCAAGGTGGTCCCCATTTGCCTCGAAGCCGCGACAATCGTGGAGCTGGCCAGCGGCGAGAGAGCCGAAGTGTGACTTCCAACTGGAAACAAGCTATTCTGGCCATGCTTGCAATCCTTCTTATCATTCCCCAGTGGAGGTGCTTTTACTCTTCGTCCAAAATCTCATATAGCCCACCATTTCCCGTCCAGCGCCTGATAGTTGAACTTGCCAATACTGTCCATTTAATGCCTGGCATGTTGGTGGACATCATGGAAGATCTAGGTGACTACAGAGGGAATTTGTCGTCTATGATCGCTGTTCCTGAACGATGGGCACTTGCGTGCTTACATAAGGATGAAGAAGCAGGAATGCCCTTGTTCAGTAAGAATAGGCTGAACAAGGCTGTGTGTGACGCGGGGCTTAAGGAATACGCAAAACTGAAAGAGAGTGATGCTCATGATCTAATCTCTCATTTACAGGACCTGAGAAACGCAATTCACGATGCATCTTTTCATGTTCAGAACGTGGCAAGAGATGTAAGACAAAGCCTTGAGCCTCATCTCGGATCCCTCCTACACTCTTGCATAGGAAATCTTACCGTGCAATTGCACCATGGCAAGGAACCATTGAGCGATACTGCATCTATGTATCTGGAGGCACTCGGTAAAGAGAAAGCACTATACCGGAAGTATGCACAAGCCGCCTTGGTCGACAGTAACGAGATTGACGAGAAGACTCATGAGCTTGTCATCATGAACATACTCGAAGCCCTTCAGAACCTAGAACGTTCTCTGACCAAGGCGTTTCTCTCAATCAATAATGTGTCTGGACCGGCTTTTTATCTTTCCCTCATGCTCCAGAAATTTGATCTTACGACTACAACGGACACTCCCGAGAACAGAAGGCTATCGTGGGCGATAGGGTCCTTTGCGTCATCTCCGAGGGGAAATCCAACGTCGCGTTGAGGAGCTGGAAGCTTTTCGGGTACTTCTTAAACGTGTATTTTCGGCGCGCTACGGGATGGAAGGAAGGGAATATGCTTCAGCAGTGTTTCCTGAAATGTCTCTTGATTCTATGGACACCCTCGACATGTCGGCTTGATCTCGATTGCGCTGGGGATTGCGGACAGTGAGAGTGCGCGCGGCCACACGGGGGGACATATAAGATGGCGTAGCGGAGAACGGAACTCTCATCTTAACTCCTGTCGAGAGAGAAACAGTGCGATGCCTTGAAGTTTGCAGCAGGAGGTCGTTTCAGAGGTTGGGGCTCGAGGGACAGTTGTTAGATACTGGAAAGACGTTGCCTAAAAGAACATTTTTCTCCTCAATGAGAAAGTGCAGCGGTAGCTTTCTGGCAATGAGTTTGCGGTTATTCAGATCTCAGTTTGCATTTTTTTTGTTCTTGTTCGAGTTGAATTGAAGTCCTCTGTTCGCTTGTTCACCTGAACCTTGATTTTGGTTGTTTTCCGCCTTGAACAACCTACCTTGTTTATATCGACTTCAGACATATTTTCTGCATTTAAAATAAATACTGAACTTCTCACCAGTCTTCTTCTCTGATCAAACCCACCAACACCGTTATATACCTACAGCTACCCACCCAGCGACAAAAGTAACACGGAACTAATCTACTACTAAACCACTACTACCCCCATGTTTAACGATCTTCTTTCCAAAGCCTCCCCGGGAGGAGACCCTCCATCATCTCCCCACGCCACTCTCGTTCACCCGGCCCTCTTACTGCTCTGGTATACACTAACATCCCTAGCCCTCCTACTTCCCGACAAGCATATGAATACAACACCTGGACACCCCTATGCCTGGAAGTTGCTTGTCACGTCCCTCCAAGAAGAGCTGTCACGGATATGTACACGAATTCCCCATGGCCGTCGAGAAGAGTACCTATATATCGCTGCTGGCCAGCGATGCATCGACGCTACTGACCTAACGCCAAAACTCTTCGCACATTACGAGAGAGCAAGGCATTTACGCATGTTCTCTTTGAGAGAGCGCGGGATACTAGCTGTGCGAGCAAGTTTGTATCTGGACCTACTACTGTACACCAAGAAGACGGCCTACATGGTGAAAACATATGAAACTGACAGCCTGCTTTACTGCAATCGAGCCTCGGCATTGCGTGTTTTCTGTACGCTCTTTTTACCCTGGTAAAGTATGGTTTCTATTCTTGTTTCTGGACAGTCGAGGTAGTACTTTCGGCTATTTACCGTAGGGTTCTTTGCATGCTCTTGTTGCTTGTCCCAGCCTTGTTCTTGTATGAGCTTCACCGGATGTTTCCCCTCAGCATTCAGCTTCATTTGGTGCTGTCAGACTTACTACTGGATATCTTATATTATGGGCCTCTGATATTGGTATCCACGTAGAGTGTTTCCTTGTGGAGGACACAATAAGAGAGACTTTCTGCAACACGAACTTAATCACTTCTATTAATAAATACATAGTTTAGCCAAAACGCTGCTGAATGATCTATGCTCCTCGCATCTCCTTATATGTCGCTATACTTCTGATATGTTAATTAACTATAGATCTACTCAAGTTTCGTAGATATTTATTTCAATTTCAAGTCGCAAGTGAAATTGGCTATGGTAATGCTGTGTGATATCTACCCCCCTGATTTTAGTTGTCCAATGGTGTTTGATCATCGCCCTGCATGTAGGTGAACTTGCTTGCTTTGTGTAACAGTTTGGCTTGGTTTGCGTGAGAATGCAAGACCCGCAAACCTTGCATGAAAAGTGAAAGGGCGAGTGAATCGATAGCGGGCTTTGACATGTTTTGTAGTAAGAGCGCAAGAGGTCTTTGATGTATAATTGAATGAAACCTGGAGCATGTGTACATACCGGCTTTGTCAAAATGGACTGTAGGTTTCAAAGTTTGCCAATCCGTATGTTGGACTTTGGCTTTGTTTGAAGCTCTCATTAACTGATCCCATGGCATATTCAATAGAGCTAGTCAAATCAGTAATGGTATAAATTGATTCCATCTTCTTCAACTCTTCCTCTTCTCTCTCCTCTTTCAAATCCTACCATCATCATTGCCCTTATTATTACTGTCTTCCTATTTTTTCCACCATGAGCCTGAAACGTCGAGGATCCGAGCTGGATCGTGAAGCGAAGAAAATGAAGTCTGACAACAGAAATGGGGACGATGCAGTCTCATTCAGAAGTTGGGTGCAGGATACCCAGGCTTCGCCTCGTCAGGCTGTCACTGATTTGGCCGACTTGCCCCAAACGGCTCGCGAGCAAGTCAACTATCTACTACAAGCTCTTAGTGATATCCCCCCAGAGACTCTGTACAAAGTCAATATCTTTGATCAAATCAACGCAATCAACTCAGATGGTGACTCGCCGCCTGGATTTACATTCAAGCCGCCTGAAATAGAAATCATGGTTGGCCATAAGCACGGTACATTTTCCCACTGCTCTTGTCTCAAAGTTCAACCTGCTGATTAGTCTATCAGGAGGTGATTCTACTCACGACTGCGAGGACCCCGCCTGCGATAAATATTTCGCCAAAGCTAAAGCCATACCTTATGCCGATGGTTACCGTTACTTTTCAGTCTAGGTCGTAGAGCTGAGAAACTACACAGGTGGCAGGTATTGGCTTCCATGTACTGAGTGGGAGCATGGTAGATCAACATTTGAAGAAAAGCCTTGGAAGGAGAACTATCTACGTCAAGTACAGAGCGTCGTCGGAAAAGTCGCGGTTTCTCGCAACCGAAAGGTACTCGGTTGGTGGGTGCGTAAAATTACTCATGCTGAAACCCCATTTGAGCCATTCAGGGGAAGGGAGGAGGCTAGGGAAGAGTTTCTTTCAGGCTATGTATCTTGGACTGGAGCATCTCGGAATGCTTGGTATTTTCGCTGATAGTTACTGAAGAATGGCCTCGGCGATTTTGCTTGTATGGTCTGAGTAAGTCGGAAACCACTGTGTTAATTGCTCAGAGAATGCAACAAGAGGTAGAGGTAGTGAGAGAAAGTCAGAACTTTATGTATCATGGTGAGGGAACTTGCGTGTCATATTTAGAGGGACCAGCTGTTCTCTGAATGCCAGAAGTGTAGTGATACCTATCAGCGAGAGCCAGAGAATATAATGGCGGTCTGATTGCGATATTCGATGAGTAGTATTGATATACGAGTCCATCTGTTACCGAGATGTTGCGTCGCCTCTAGTCGAGAAAGAATGAGAGTATCTTGTTCCCAACGTCATACACAACTTGAATCAACAAATCGCCTGTCGCTTTCACGATGCCACACTGGCAGTGGCAGCGATACCAACTACGCGCCGCCAGGGCGAACATATCAATCATAGCAGGGTACCTTCACAACTATTTGCTGATTGGAGTTCAGACCGCCAGCGAGGGCCACTGTCAATTCGCCATAAACGTCCCGGCATATGAAAAGCAACCACGCAGAACAACAACATTGTTGGCGAACCCCAAAGATTCATCCAACTTCTCCCGACTTGGCCATCTCTACATCGCAATATCTTCCATACAACCGCATCATCACTTTCTCAAGCATCAGCACCAGCAACCCGAAACAAAACACTTCGCTCTTTCATCTTCTTTTCACACCAATATAGGACATCAACATGGCGGATCTCATCGACCCAGGCACCATGAAGCTGGTCCTTATCGTCTCCCTCCTGTGGATCATCTCATTCACCCTCCACACGCTCTACGAGATCAACGATATCATCTTCTACTCCATTGCTATCGGAACTTCCTTCGTTGTCGTCACCGCAAGCTGTGTCTGCCTCTCGGGCCTTGCCGTCATCGCGGTCTATTTTTCAGTCCTGGCCAACGCTGCGATTCTTTGCATCATTGTCATGCTCATTCCGGTCCTTCAGTATTTTCTTCAGTGCATTTCATCTTTCTTCACTGGTATTAAAAATCTTTGCGATCGAGTAATCGGGTTCTGCGATGCGGTTTTCGGTTTCTTGGACAACATTAGTACTGCGGTGCAGTTGTTTCCCCCGTCATTTGACAGATTCATTTACGGACCTCAAGGTCTTGAGCCCCTCACTGATGAATAAGCGGTTTGTGAGCGGTCTGTTAGTGAACTGAAGGTACTTACATTCTTGTGAGGCGCAGTGAAAAGAAACGCACTTGGTTTCGTCGGTTGCACATTGGCAGTGCTCTACATGCGCATCAGGTAGAGACGAATTCCCCTTGGCAGTGATTGGACCGTTGGTATCTATGCGGCAGGAGAAGATAGTCCGTATGTAGTGCACTGCAGAAAAGAAAAGGCTTGCTAAATTCTCCAGGTCAGCTTCTCCCGTGATGCCGTCGACTACAGTCTCGGCTAAATGTATACTGTCGCCATCGTCTGTCTTGGAGAGGTCCCAGTCTCACAGGAGTCAGCCGGGCCAATTAAACCATCTACCTATTCTGATGTCAGATCCCTTCAAGATGATCAAAGGAGGTAATCCCGGTAGGATCCTGATGGATTGATGACCACGACCTCACGGTTCAGACGCCACATGATTTTCACAATCGAAATTCCTCAATTAGTATGCACAGACGATTCCGAGCAGGAGAGGCAAGTAAATGTAAGAACTTTATACTAAATACTGAAAGGAGTTCGGTAAACTTAGGTAAATTTAGGGAAGATTTAGTAGGCACTTTTAACTCATTAGTTTTGTCAGCCAAGATTAGGGTTAAGGTTTCTTGCTCGATGAGGTCAAATTACTTCTAGGTACCGTTGAGACCATTGCGTGTGGGGTAAGTGCGGAGAAGTGGGCGTGATAAGGAATTTCGTGGCGTTTCAATTGCCGGCCCTATTTTTGGTGTCTTATCTGACAGGAAGCGTCAGATGATAAGCCCGGAGATGTAGTCAGGATACCATTACCAGAATAGGAAATGATATAAGAAGAGACTAACATAACGCCCCTCCCCCCTTCAGCAAGCGACGCCGATAAAGAGTCATTCGCGAGGTTGGTAATAATGATAAAAGGCTCAAATGGCCCTCTCTACTCTGCAACAATGTAGTTGGAATACAGGACTTGCCATTTCGCTGCGTCAATTGCTCACTTCAGAATCAACAAAACCAACCACTCTACAGCTCTAGATATCCTACAACATGTCTGCAAAGGTAGCTCCGGCCCCGGCGAACATCCCCTCTCCTGCCCTCACCGCTCTTGACAACCTCGAACTCCCGGACTTTGATCCCTCCATCCACCTCGCTTTCCAGGCCCCTACTCGACGCCACACCTTCCAGGACCTTGGGCTCCCGCAGCCAGAAAATGCACCCGACCTCTGCGTCACAGAACCTTTTCAGCTCTTCTCGGAAGAAGGAGTGCGCATGCTCCGTCGTGAGATGCTGAGTAAACCAATTCTCGACAAGTATCTCCGTTCATGGGATCGTGCGCCTGCTTACATCGCGGGTCATGAGAAGGTCAGTTCAACACCACTGTGACAATATTAAAACTAAACTAATTGCAAAAGACTGCAAAGTTTACTCTTCAGGCGTGGCAACATCCCGCGACGCAAGCTGCCATCGATCACGCAGCTGGTTTCGGCCTCAGACTCTTGCGACGCGAAGCCGATCTCGGACTCGTAAACATCCAACTCGGCCCCGAAGGTCTCACCGGCGTCTACAAACTCACCGAAACACCCTCAGCCCCGCTCTCACCCCAAGAGATGCAAAAGTCCAGCTACGACGATATACCAATTGACGCTTGGCACAAAGACCAAGTCCCGGTTGTATGCGTCGTGATGCTCAGCGACACAAGCAGCATGCAAGGCGGGGAAACAGCTATACGCACAGGAGATGGTTCCATCGTAAAGGTTAAGAGTCCAAGAGTGGGAGGCGCTGTCATCATGCAGGGTGGTTGCACTGAGCATGCTGCTTTGCGAGCGACGAATGTGCCTGAGCGTTTGAGCATGGTGAGTAGCTATGCATTTGCAGATCCGAACTTGGATGATCAGTACACGTCGCTTCGGAGTGTAGATTTAGGAAATGATGATATTCCGACGTTTTGTAATATTTTCTTGCAAGAGAAGTTGCTTAGGTTGAGGGGGAGGATTGATGCGGTTCTGGAGACGCTTGTTGAAAAGGAGAAGAGGGGTGAGATGGTGGAGAGGAGTGAGTTTGAAGGATGGGTCAGGGAACAGACGAACTTTATGAAGAGGAGCGCTTGGGAGATGTATGAAAGGGTGCCAAATTACTTGGGCAAGGATGTACCTGAGGATGTCATTCGAGATTACCTGAGATGAAAGGAAGATGGAAGTAGCTTGATAGTTGCAGACCTGTTTATTTAAATTGACTTTCTGTATCGCCAGCATCACTCACAACTTGCAAAAAGACTCAAAAAGAATTGATACACGATAATGGAACTCGTTTGCCTCGACACGGGATCGAACCGTGGACCTTGTCATTACTAGTGACACGCTCTACCACTGAGCCATCGAGGCGCGTTCTGATTGGATGAAACTCTTCGTCGCTCCTGAACACCAAGATTCTCTCCAGACTGACCGGTTTTCCTTGACGCCAATTGCAAACTGTGGCAGAGGTCACTTTTGGGGATGACTATTGAGCTGGATGTCGTCATTCATATCGCTATAAAGTTTAACACTCAAGGTATCGAGTATAATTGGTGCAGATCGCAATACTCAACATTGTTCATTCGTGAAACACTGCAGGACTTTGCAGCCCAGAGGGCGCATCCTTGAAGTCTCAAACACTACTCAACGGTAACGACCATTTTCCCATTAGCAGCCCCATTCTCCATTGCCCTATGAGCAGCGTGTATCTGCTCAAAGTCAAACACCCTCCAAGGCTTTGCATCAATCTTCCCTTCGGCCACCTTGAGCATAATACTCCTCAACGGGACGTCAGACACTGGGAACTCTTCAGTCCCAAACACAAAACTTCCAAAGAAGCTCAAGTGAACTCCACTTGCCATTTGCAGCAGCGGATTGAATCCCCGCGACTCGTCAGGCCCCGGTGGTCCATTAATGGGATCTAAACCTCCTAGCCATCCTGCCAAGCAGACCCGACCATCTCGACGGACTAGTTGCAGTGAGTCGACAATTGTGCTGTTTCCAACCAAGTCCAGTACCGAATCGAACTTGTTGAACTGCCTGCTTCCATAGAGGTGTTGGCTCAGGTTGGGCGTTTCGAGGACTGTTTCCGCGACTCCGAGGTCTCGCAACATGGCAAACTTGGCTTCGTTGCGAGATGACGCAGTGACGATAGCTCCTGCATCGACAGCGAGATTGATCGCCGCTCTTCCAAAAGATGAGGTAGCACCTCTAATAATAATCCTCTGTCCACGTTGTAGATGTAGGTTTCGAAATAGGCACGTCCAGGCTGTAGCATAACTTTCAGGCAGCGCAGCTACATCTGCCCAAGACAGCGGTAGTCGTTCTCCAGGTTCGCCCAGTGCGACTATGTTGTTCGTATTTGCGACGGTATACTCTGCGTAACTACCGGGTATAGTCCGACCAAGGCCGCCCATGAGTGCTGCAACTGGTGTTCCTGTAGCGAACTCTCCTCCTGGACACTCTTCAATAATTCCGACGCATTCGATACCGCTGATAGGGACCGACTCTGCCCATTCGCCGCGGCGCATATGCATTTCTGCGTGGTTGATGCCGAAGGCTTTGATGCGGATAAGTGCTGTGCCAGGGACTGTTGCTGACGGTCTGGGGAGGTCTTTGATGACTAGGTTCTCGACTGGACCGAACTCGGAGATCAGTATAGCTCTCATAGTAGAGGAGATTTTTGAAATAGATATAGATGGCCTTTTGATAGGAAGGATTGTGGTTTGATGAGTCTGACTGTTTTAATCTATAGTTGCGATGTGTTGCGGCAGTTCGGATGTCAATGCAAGGACAGAGGCTCATATTTAACAACTTGTCTATTGTAGATCAAGCGCTACAAACGTCATCCCGATACAGGTGATTCCATGATTTCTGTCATCTTCAGGGCGCGCCTTTTCAACTGTGCTTCATATCAACTTTTGAGTGACTAACCGTTCGTTGTTAATTGACGCTGACTCGGAATACTTATGTTGTTGGCCCGGCCTGACGCGATTCGCCATCATTTGTAAGCGCTTGTACTGGTACGGCCGCTACAGGGTAGTTTCAACCAATCCGTGGCTTTGGTAGTGCATTATCCAATCAACACTTGTCGGTACCATGACAAACCTCTCCGTTGAGGACAACCATGACCTCACAGTGTGATCGTAAAATCTGTGCACCTAGTCGTTTCTTGTCGAGTGCAGCATTTGTGCAAGCTTGGTCAGAGATGGGATATGTGCTTCTTCGTATGTCATCGCACCAGGGCCGCGTGAATGGTTCATTTGTTAACTATCTAGTACTATCGGCTGAGGTACCGAAGAACAAAGAGAAAGAGTTAGAAATGTCCCTCGAGCTATACGAAGTCATAGTTCATAGAATTGAGTTAAAGCGATGCATCGAACACTATGTCAAGGCTGTATAAGCCTTTTTTCTCACGCGCAAACAGCAGTGATCCCCTTGTTTTAGGAAGTAACCAGTACAGCTGGTTTGTAATAATGATGAACTTCGAAACAGTGGCACTGACAATTTAATCACCAAACCTATAAGATCCACGATCTTTGTACCTTTCTGTCAACAATGCGTCAAACACAATCGCAAGGTCAAACGGAGCATTTGCTACCGGCTACAAAACTTCCCAAAAATCATTCTATATAAAATTTTGTGTTCTACATTCGTACCTCTCACCGCCACCATGGAGAAGAAGCTGCGGGAGATAAAGATGGAGATCATGCAGGATCGATTGGATAGTCTTGAATTCCGTCTAGAGGAACTAGCCAATAGCTTTGCGCAGCTTACCACCAAACAACTCAGCAAGGAATGACCTAGCTTCTGATATTCTGATCGCAAACACTGATCAATATCTTGCCTACTTTAACAGAGCCGAGTTCATTGACTACGCGCAAGAAAGTCGGCAGGCAATGCAGTTCAAAGTCGATGAAAACAACACAATCCAGCGCATCTACCGCGAGGCCAGACACCACCGTCAGATGACAGAAGAAGAGCGCCATGACCGCTTATCTGATGATCGAATCATTCTCTTCATTTCTATGTAGACGCGGGAGAATGTTGTCGAAGGAGCGGCGGCATACTCTAATTTGGGTCGTCGAGGTGTGGTATTGTATAGTCAAATTGATCAAGAAATCGCTCGTAGATTTCAGGATGGGATGCGGATAGTGGTTGGATTTGTGATTCCGTCATCGTCGCTTTTCGTTGTTGGTAGTTGCTGAGTTGTTGATGGCTTTTGAAGAAGTAAACGTTGAATGCGAAAATATGGGTTATGTTATTCTAGGTATGTAAACATCCCGCACATTAGGTCTGCGGCTAAGCTAGTTACTACCCTTCAGTACCCTGTTGAGAACTTATCAAGGTCAGCATGTGTACCACTGGGAGAGGCTTTTGTTCTTGGCTAGGTAATAATGCCGGTACTGAACATTAACTGGTTTGTGTTTCAACACTCGATGTAGTTAAGTAAAGGTCTGAGTGCACTAGAAATATAAATAGGATTTCCATTCTTTAGACTCTTTATTCAAGTTGGTACGGTCAAGTAGAAATGGTTGCAGAACTTGAGTTAGATCCTGACTGGTCCGTTATTGTCTGGATTAGCACAGGCATTTGGCAGTCTCAAACTAGTGTCGGGGCTCTCACAACACCGCAATTGCTGCCGGTCTCTGACCAGAGAATTCTCCAACATCCTACGGACATATTTGTATTCCCTCATCAAAAGTTCGAGCTATGGTGCATCTTCCTCTACTAGATGAAAATCATGACAACTCATGGTGGAGAGTGAGGAATTGGTGTCAAACAAAGACTCTGTGAATAAAGAACATTCTTTGATCGCTTATCAAAAGAGTCATTCTTTCGACGCAGATGTCTTTACTGTTCATTTCTTTGAGCCAAGTCTGCAACATCTTTGCTGAGAATCATCTTGGACTTTAAGGAATTTGGCTGGCGATTGACACTGAGAATGGCTCAATGTGACGGCTGCTTAGTGAAATGCTAAAACGTCTCGATTTATTCAAGGTTTAATACGATATTGCGCTTCCAACTATGCCATTTCTCTACCTAAACTATCGAGGCTTAATCGCATTTGCGAAGAATCTAGTCAAAACCTGCGGATCTAACCTGTCTCCCACGCCCATGGCTTTGGTGTGCGATGCCTTAGTCTCTGGTAGAGGTATCCCTGGTCATTCTAAGACCCGTCTCATGGTGCTTTTAATTGACGGCCAACGTTGAATATGCAAGCAAGTGCTGGTAGTCAGTAGGCAAGGTTCTCTTAGGATACTCTGGCTCTTACTGGTTGTCTACTTGTGCAGCTGCTTTACGGGCAGCCACTCTGGCTCTGCGAGCCGCTTCCCGAACCTTCCAATCCGCCAAAGCGGCCGGAGCGTAGTTCACAACCTTCTCTTCAGGCTCCCATCTGTCGTCCTTAGGCGAGTATCCAACCCACTGACAGTGATAACGGATTTCGCCCTTGGCCCAGCCCTTTGCCTTGACTTTGAAGATATGATAAAGTCGCAGACCTGTAACTTCCTTCCGACCACCAAGGTCTTCCCAGTAAGTATACAGAGCTTGGGGATCGATCTTCTGGATGAAGTCCTCACGTTCCCAAGACTGTGGGATGTCGTCGTCTGTCCACTTGACGAGAATCTGGACGGTGCTTTCCAAGCGGTCCACTCTGTGCCGAATCAGGGTGTCGATTTCATCGGCCATGATGTCTGTGTCGGAGAGTGATCAGTACTACTGTCGAGAGGATAAGTCTTTACTCACGTATTGGTAGTGTTGATGTCTGTGAGTGGTGATGTTTGCGTGTTGACTTTTGAGAGTAGATTACAGGTTTGATCGGTCCCATGGATGGGCATTTAAGGATATACGACAGAAAGCGAACAGACTTTCTACTCTTAGACCATTGGAACATCTCCCCAACAATATGCCACTGTCGCCAATCGAAGAAGACTTACATAAGTCAAACCTACAATGACTGTTGCTGTGAATGGCCTTTAGTAAACCTGGCTTGGGTGAGTCTCGATGTGACGGCCGCGTTCCAAAGTGCTACTACCTCATTTCACTCAAAGCTCACTATGGCATCGCAAGCCCAATTGCTCTCTTCTCTAGCATGATCGAGGCTTGGTTACATGTTCAAACGCTATAAACCTCTTTCAAGTTATCTATTGTATCTCTCAACTGCCTTAGCCATTTCCTCCTTAGTCAACTCACCTCCAAGTAACCCAAGTCATTTATCCCGACTTTGCTCTAAGGGTTCGCCGCCGGATTGTTCTGTTCACCAGCTGCTCGACTAGCCTCAAACTCAGCAAGCACATCCTTGGCAATCCTCATTACCTTTTTTGGAGGCTCCAAGGTTGTATCCTGACGCGTGTCCGAGTATCCCACCCACTGGCAGTGGTAATACCATTTGCCCTTCTTCAAGACTCTAGCAAGAACCTTGAAAACGTGGTAGTGTCGTAGATACGTAGCATGACCACGGCCACCGTATTGGCGCCAGTACCGATACACTGTTTCGCTGGCGGTTTCTTGCAGGAGAGCCTCGGGTTCCCATGTTGGTTCGTCGTAGCCTTTCCACTTGACGAGAAACTGAAATGTCTTTTTATTTCTGTTGACTCGGTGGCGGATGAAGCGCTCTATTTCGTACTCTTGATCATCTTGATTGGCGGCCATATTGTATAAGAATAAGCAGTAGCGATTTTGAACCTGATGTATTATTCAAATATCAATTCTTTTGACGTCTTGTACTTTGGTGCATCGTCATTTGGTCCTGCAGATGCGATTTATACAGTTTCACGAATCGCAAACATGGCATACAGTAGACAAAGGTGTGCCCACGTTCCCAAATGAGTTGTTGTTCGGTAAGACCATCGATTCTGTTCTTTGTCCATTTTGACCATCTCTTTAAGAACATACCACCATTCACATATCAACAGAACATGTACAAGGCCCAGGAACCGCAGTGTTCTGTATGCAGCAAACTTCGTGTGCAAGATGCTGCTCTATGTTAAGTGTTGAGATACATCATGCTTGCCATACCGCTCTGTACACCAGAATAGAGAGATGTAGTCAACATTATCAAGGCCTGAGAGTCGGGCAAGGTACATTATTTTAACCATGAAACCCTGAGTATAGGGAATCTGTGATGGTGATGATCTGTGGGTCAAGAACTTTTGTTAAGGAGGATCTCAGCGCTTGGACTGGAGTTCTTGGCATTGTCTTGAACGGGAATAGATAGGCCATCGCTTAAAATAATTCATTTTATTACCGCTATTAATAGTCTGAAGGATCAGAGTGGAACAATCCTGTATCGTATAAATGTCTGAGTTTGACTAAATGATACACCGCGTTATGGCCGATGCAAGGGCTCAAGAGTTCAAATACTGATGAGTACCCATAGAAGCACATACACTCGACACTTACATTCTCGTTCACATATAACTTTTCAAAAGGTCTCTCTTTAAAATTCGTTCATCAAACGTCACTCGCTCAACCCAATAGAAAAACAAAATGGCACGATCAATCGCCCTCGCAGCTCTTCTCTTGGCCCTCCCTATCGCAGCGCAGCCGGAGATCACTTCTACCCCTGCCGCAACCGCTGCTGCCCCCGAGACCACCGAGATTACTTCACACCCTCCCGAAACCACTGAATACACGGTTGTGTCGACGATTACACGCAGTAACGGTATTGACTATTATGCCGTTCCGATCAGCAAATCTAATGGAACTACTACCGGAAGTGCTCCTTCGGCGACTGTTGATGTGGGTAACGCTGGGGCTGGATTGATGGTTGGGACTGCTGGCGTTGTTGCTGGAGTTGTTGGCGCGCTTGCAATCGTGCTGTGAGAGGCTGCACTGTGAGAATGGGAGTGATGGACTGGGATTTAGGGAAGTGGTAGGAGGGTCACGACGTTGGTCGTGACATCGTATTCTGGCTCAACTACTTTGTTGCTATTCTGTAATGCCTCACGTACAATTAGTAACAAAACCAGTCTTAATCAATTCTCTGTTCCACTTGCTCCCGTTAGACGAGTAGAAGCTGTCTTGCCACTTAAAAATGTCACTTTCCTCAATTGCACTAATGCTATACCCGTTGGTTTCTGGTAGCCTGGATCACAGCCTTTGGCTGACACTGGCCAACGCTCAAGCTCAAACGCAACAAGGCGCTGCGCCACAGGATTTATCTTGTAACGCGTCGCGAAGATCACATAAGAATTGATCGACTGCTATGATCTCCCTGCTGTGACTCAGTAGATTTGTGAACACTACGTTAGGGGTGATGGCCACCGCGAAGCAAGGGCCCATCATGACAGTGCCTATGGCGGATGAAAAGTTGCACGGAAAATCTCTCAATAAAACATTTTAATTTTCACAGACAGCACCTAGTTCTGCCGCGGCTGCAACTCCAGTCACCAAACATTCATTCAATCCATATAAATAGGTCCAAGTCGAGAGTGGGTCGCCTTCGATGAACATTATTTTGAAATACAACCCCAGTCTGTAGTTTTACTATAAACTCTCATACAGTCCATCATAAAGACACTGTACCCTATGATAAAACCGTTGTGCTGCGGCTTCCAGAGTTGATGTGGCATTTGGAACTCCAGCGCCCAGCAAACGTACCACCCGCGCGCATCAGTGTTATAGTGCAGAGGCAGTGGACCAGAACCCTCTCACTTCAGTCACTGCCAGAACTGGATTAACAGTTTCGCCAATAGCACCTTGACCTTGGGACGCGTCCAGGTAGCCGCCAAGGCACGTTTGACGAGACGTTATGCTGTCAGTGGCAGATGGTTCATGTTGCTCCGTCACACCGCTCACGTTAAATAACAACCAACCTTTCGTCTTGCTTTCTTCTTTCTCCCTTCTGCCTTCTTCATCATCACAAGAACTTCCTACCTTCACAAACAAAAACTTCATCTACCTTCATCATCACAACAACTTCATCTACTTTCACCAACAACAACTCCATCCCTCGCGTCGGACATAATCATCTGCCCATTCATAATGGCCACAACAATTTCAATTGAGTCACCAGTCGGGATCGAAATGATCCTTTCGGCCCTTGCCCTCCTTGCCCTCACTTGGATCACTTACAAGCTCCTGCAAACTGGCAAAGCCGAGCCAGTCTCCCCTGTTTGTGTAAGCGCCCCCAACTCGATAACGCACCAACCTCTAATTCATCTACAGGACCCATTCACCGACGAGCTCCCACCTCTTGGCCACAGAGCCTTCAAGGCGGCTGAGCTTATTCCTCGCCGTGAGCAAGAGGCAATGAAACAGCAGATCGACGTCCTCGAACGACGCCGCCAGGCAGCTTTCACTCAAATCGGAAAGATCTACGCACGCCGCCTTCAGATCGACAAAGCCCTCGATAATTTGGTCTACGACTTGAGCAGGGAGTTCGGTCCCGACGATATGGAACCGGTTTTTGGGATGAAAAAAAAGATTCGTGACCTATCACGAGAGATGGAGCAATGTTATGGCCAAGTTGATGACCTATGCCATCAAATGCATCAGATGATGGTGATGCGACTCAATTTGCGTCGAAAGATTGATCGGCTCGACTTGCAGATGGAGTCCGCGAGACTGGCTGAGATCATGTATCCCCATATAATCCCGGCGGAGGCTCTGGGAGATCAGGAACGGGAGATCGAGAAGCGAAGATGATATGGGGATTCATGTTGTTGCTATTCCACTTCGGGGGACATCTTCTGGAGGCGACATTTCAGATGACACAACGGCTCTCATCTCTTCTAAGCGTCCAAGAACTGGCATGAAGCCCGATTTTCTCTGCCTTCAAGGTTAAACGGCATAAATGTAGATGCCCAATAAAATGTGTTGCGATCAGGATGTTGGCGAGGTTAGGATGCTAGTTAGCAAAGGTGGCCAATAACAAACCGAATCGCAAGAAATCAATGACTTGGGTGATGTCTGGGCTTTGAAGTATTTGTCATGACTGCGATGTCCTTCTCGCCCAGCCCTTAGGTGGAAGAGGTCTAGTAGATTCACATCTCACGACAATTCACAAGACTGGGCGCCCAGCTCACGCTCTCTCAGTAAATCGACGCAATTTTATTCGGTAAAGCAATGTTTCAGGACAATCTTTGATTCTTTATTCCACGGGGTGATAAATGTGACCAGGGCCCCGTGTACAAGACATTCCTACGAATCCAGTTCATCTCTGTCCTATGATGTCGCAATCATCCAAGTCACCCTCAGTGGCACTCCCCAATCGCATCATAGTGGCAGCCCTGGCTACTCATTTGTAATCTCATTCATCAATGACATGACCAAAGCGATCCATCCACTCATCCTCCCCATAGAATCTCCAAGCAACAACACCTACAAGACTCCAATGCAAAACACCCTCTTCACGATTCATCAAATCGAGCTTGCACCACTGTAGAAGTGGATGCGTAGGGCGGTCGCTCTCCTCGTCGTACTGTTTGCTGGCGCTCCACGGAGAGTTGAGCAGCTTTTTGGGTTCGATCATGATGACCTGAATAGCACCGCTCTCCCATTCCGGTGCCAGCGCGTCAACCCATTGCTGTTTCCTTGCAGTCCACTCCTCCTTATTACTGTCCCAGGTCAGCTTGATGGAAATAGCTTGGCGCTGGAGTGTCTTTTGGTAGTATTGATGAAGGCAATTGCGAATGAACTCCAGCGAGAACGGAAGAGACACACAGCTCAGCACCTCTTCCTTGTCCAAGTGCTGCGTATCTGGATAGTCCTCCTGGACTTCGACCGCTGGATCAAGCCGCATAGCAATACGACGGTGGCGAAGCTTGAGATATTCCTTCACAGTGCCTTTGAATTCTGCAACAAGGTTGGTGAATGGTGGGATACAGGAGCGCATGCTAGGTCCAGCATCAATCATGTGGTCAGCAAAATACTGAATGGAGAGGTCTAGCGTCTTGAAGCGCTCCTCGCAGTTGCTGACTGTCATCCAAGGATATTCGAAAGCCTCGTTCACTCCATTAATTCCAACAATCCTCGGATCAATCGCGTAAACACTGGCAAAGCACTGCGAGACTCTTTTAGAATGAACTGTTAAAAGCCATGCCTCAAGTCTGCCAGTAGCCAAATCACACCATTCTAGTTTGTACAAAGTACCAGTCGATAATGTGGGTTCGGGTTAAGCTTTTCAGACCCATGACGTAGCAGATAGCTCTTTAGCATTAATTAAGCCTTAGGCCTACATCAAGCCGCTTAACGGTGTTGAAGGACACGTCGCATAGTAAGGTCAACATTGCACGACTACCCATAGACTGGCCATGCTGCCTGCGAGATCGAGTCTGAAAGCTTCAGATGATACGATTGACTGGAGTCATGCTGAACTGTGGGTACTGACTATAAAGTTAGTCAAAACGCATCAGTTAAGCCTGAACGGACATCCTACGAACAATGACTGCTGAGTGAGATCAATCTGTCGACACAATAGATTGTGTGAACTAAGTCATTTTACTGTAAAATGAGTGAAAAGGGTCAACACCTATATCCTAAGTGATGAAAGACTTAGGCAACTTAATCTTAATTTAGGAGACTTCTTACTAAGTGTATATGTTAGTCCCCGAGGCCTACTTAACCTGTAAAACAGAAGGACTGCACATTTTTAGCTATTCTTGTGGCATTCTCGGTACGAGCATCGAAGTTGCAATCCTATGCGGTGATCAATCCTTCGCTGGAGTTGGAAGCCGGAACATAGGAATACGATAGGATGGTATTGCCGTTAACATAATAAGTGAGCATGCAACCAAAACTTTGCTCCGCTAATCTACTCAGCTAAGATAGTTCTCTCCAAATTGAGATATAGCATCTGAAAAACGCGCTCACCGTGTTATGAAGGAGTATATAAAGGCCAATGAAGTCCCAGATCTGACCAGCACCATCAGACACCACAGTCAAGCCCAACAGCAAGAACACCCCTACCCTCACCAACATCAACAGAGCTCTATTCATTACAGAATCACAATTACCTCCCATTTCAACATGCTTCTACCTCCAGGATTCATGGTCGGGGCCTTCAACTATCGCAAGACCCCCGCTTTCATCGTAATGGCTTATCTGACTTTTCAGGTACGTTCTTTTATTCGCGAACGGCAGGGTGATTGGTATGAGGCTATGCCGGAGCTACTTTTTGGCGAGGGTCAGGCTGCCAGTATCCTGTCATGTATGCTTGGGCTGCTGACTGATGCGTCTCTCTGTATTCTCAGCGGTGTTCTCTTTCTAAATGCCCTTTGGATTCTTATGGTCTTTGGATTCTATGGTGATCGCTACATTGCCCCGGCTCTAATCTTATTCTTATCCTTCCTGCGAAGAGTCATACCAGATCTTCTGACATGGATCATAGGTCTTTTGGAAGGTTGTCTTGCCATAATCGAAAGGCTTATTTCTTCTGAAGAACCGTCGAATAGAGTATGTTCATGGTTAACTTGATTGTTCTCAGTATCGATCTGCGAAGCAGAGAGCAAACATCAAGACTGGTGGAGCTTGACACCTGAGCTCTTAACAGCTTGCATTACTTTTAAATAGCATTAACAGTTGATACATACTGTTGATGCTATTCAATCTTATCCATAGGCAAATATAATACAGATATAATAATGGATATTAATACCTTTTAAAGGATCAAATTTCGGTGACTATGTGTCAGAGCAAATGCAATAAATTGATAGCTGAGTATATTACTCAAAGAAACGTCCGATAACTATCAGATAATCATCACTATAGACCTGCAGTCCGATACAACAACAGTGACAATCCGTAACAACCTTAGCACTTAGACCTAGCTAGGGCAAGTGTTGGTAGGATAGTTGCAGCTGCTAGTCTTTCCACCGCCAGTGATAGCGTTGCCTGAGAAGGTGAATCCAGAGCAGCTACCATCACCACAGAGGATATACCAATTCTGGGCAGAGCTAGCCACAGTGCCAGTGACCTTGGTGAACTTGATGTTGCTGATCTTGACGCCGTTGGTGGGTTTTCCAGTAGGGCCGCCGTTGAGATAGTCCTGCTGGACATCGACACCGTACTTGCTGATGTTGGTAAGAGCGATGTTTTGGTAGGTAACGTTGTTGATCTAATATTCAGTTAGTTTAACTAGACGATGTGTTGTACTGGAAACCAACTTACTGTTCCAGTTGTGCCAGAGTTGGACTTGATGCGACATCCATTCTCACTGTTCACAATCTGCGAGTTCAAGAACTGAACACCATCAACGACGTTGTTGCTCTTGCCGCCAACAGATCCGATGCTAAGACCGTGGCCGCCGGAGCAATACATGTTTGAAACGATAATGTTGGTACCCGAAGTGACAGCAACACAATCATCCTGGTTATAAACATGGTTATTATCCAGCGTAACGTGGTCACTGGAAGAGATGTCGAAACCGTCGCTGTTGTGCGCAGCGGGCAAGCCACCGCTCTTGGCATTAGGCTTGTCACCAGCTCTGTTATCAAGGATGAGCCCTGAGATGGTCAAATCCGAACTGCCGGTGATGTCGAAGCAGTGAACGGGCCAGTTCTGGATGTTGAGGTTTGTGATCTTTGAGTTTCCGGTAGTCTTCTTGACAACGATGAAGTGATCGGGCCTTTCTTTGGTCAGTATAGCCTCTGCAACAGGTAGTTAGGGGGAATTACTTTGGGTTGTCCTTGTTGTTGGAACCTTCGCCATCCCAGTACGCCTGGCCGTTTCCATCAATGACATGGCCAGATGCACCAGTTATGGTGACTCCGCTTCCACTGATGACGATAGGATCAAAGTCGTTATCGGCAGTGGTGGCAAAAGTCTATTACATTCAGCTTCAGCACATTAGATAGAAAAGGAAAGTGACTTACGGTCTTGCCCTTGAAGGTAACGGTCGTGCCAGCCTTGAGCTTCGATAGATCGAGTTGTTTGCCAGTAGGGATTTGGAAACCGGCGAGCACGATATTTGTGCAGGATGAGACGGCGGTGGCGAGTCCGGAGTAGTCAGTCACGGTGCAGGCATCTCGTTCCTGGAGCTGGAGTTCATGTTATTAGTGGTTGAATGATCATTGAAACATCCTCTTTTCTCACAGAGCTTGAAGGCAGGGCCCAGGCGGCTGGGAGCAAAGCCGCGATAGCGATGTTTCGAACCATTGTGATATTCGTGCAAGACAAAAGTCAAGAGGAAGTGATGAGATGCTGAAGTGCTTGGCGATACTAAATCTATTTCAGCCTGGCATAACATGATGTTTTATAGATCATCATCTATTCTAATCAATTACAATCATACTCTCGGATCCCATTGAAGGAATATTCAAATTCCGTCTCGTCGTTCCAGAACATAGTCATTCACATTCCACTCATCAACCCCCTACTCAATATGTCCAAATCGGCATCGGCACTTCTGGGTATACGGCACGCTCGAAACATGCAAGTCCCGCTATAATGGGGAATTCTCCACGTCGGAAATATTTACAGGCATGGTTGTCCAACGAGTTCTCGGCAGTACGGCACTTGAAGGTCGGTGTGCTGTTGTGTGATTCGTGGGATAATGGAGGGAATTGCCTAAACGGGTTAAAGTGTTTCGCCAAGGAGCCATTGCCTACCCTGAAATTTGCTGTAAGTGACTCGTGTTTCTCGGGATGATTCGATGCATTAGTGACTGTTTCTGAGATCAGTTGGACTATGTCCGCTATATTGCGGTTTTGGGTCAAGCTGGTCCCTGTTATTCGGCGGTTCGGTCTCTTCCATTCCCAGTCGTCATGAAACTCGAAACATGGAAGCAATCCCTTAAAGTCCGCGTAATGTCTATTCTTTGCTCCAACTGGCTTTGCTTCTCAATCTCACTCATTTGAAATTTGAAAGTCAGTTCTCTTTAAAATCTGTAGTCTCTTCTCTACGTGCAAGGCAGCGACTTGAATGACTCCCCATAAGCGGAAAACACTAATGGAAGACGGATAAGCCACCCCCAATAATACCCCAGACTTCCCCAAACTCTATGAACCATAATTTCACTCAAGCTTAGTCGAGATCTGTCTAACGGACCGGACATAGTGTCACGCTAGCCCAACCAGCCAGAAGCCGTTCCAGATTTGTCTGGCAGATCGCGGATTGGGGGTTCCCTATATGCAATTAACTTTGCAAGTGCCCATGGGGATGAATTTGCGGGGTACGGGGTAATAAGGTCCGCTAATCACATTCGTTCCCCCAATGTCATGTTAGTGACATCCGGCAACTCTATTCCGATCTTGATGCAACGTCTCTAATGGTTCGTCGCCTGACATTCATTTCTTCGAATCCGCGTATCTACCTTGAGCATCTCGGATTTCTTACGATTGATTGAAGCTGACACCATATACTTCTTGGCCAGCGGCAGTGGTCCGAAGGATTCTTGTCTCCTATGCAGCAAAAGCGAGTTGTCGGAAGACATATTGTGGTTTTGATATGTCTCAAGACATGGGACTCATTACTGAATAACGAGCCAATTCACATTCACAATATTATCTCATCGTCTATCTCGATTGAGCTATATCGGCGATGCTATAGCTAAATATCATTCTAGTTGCTCCTGATTTCTGCTCAGTAATTCGTTATATGTGCAGAACTCTTAGAAGAGGATCCGAATCGCGACATTGTCTCGTCGAGATAAGGTAAAGAACGAAAGCAAGTATGCAAGTATTGTAGTATGCTATGCTCCCTCAACAGTATTCATATGAGAGCAATCCTTTACTGACAGAGCTGGCAGCTAAGGTCTGCATCGTGCGCTGTCAAGACCCTTTGCGATGTTGATCGAAGTGTCTAGATAAGCTAGGTTCTAAGATTATAGACTGGCAGTGACATGACGCTTTGACATATATAGCATCTGTGGCAGTGTTAATGCTGCGTTCATCATTTATGGCTGGATGAATTTCCATGTAGGAAGTGATTTGGCGCCTACTCAATGCATGTATTGTGATTGAATTGTGATCTGCCATAAGGTTCAACCTTTTATGTAATACTAAAATTTATTGGCAAAAAGAACTACCGCAAAAAACAATCCAGGATACGGGAAGTCTACGGACTTTGACAGCCTGAGCGGCTTTTTGTCCCTCATCCGACCTGGGGCTTGAAACAGAAACCCAGCTCCGGAAACGGCAGATCCAATGATGTTACTTCACGGGGAATCGAAAGCTCTCCTGTTGATCAAGAGAGTGTAGAGAGGCATCATGAGACCAGCTTAGGGAGCCTAGCTCTAAGGAAATTAAGACATGTTTATGCTATAACCAGCGATTAACATGCCCTCCCTAGGAACAAGAAATATTAGACCTTGGTATAGGGTACCAAAACAAACTTAGCAAAGACTTCCCCAAGTTGAGGCTAGATTTACCTAAATATTGTGTCACTTAGGGTCAAGGTCCTAAGTTTTCTTCCCTCCCCCAGACCCTGCAACTGTATTTGGACTGCATGGTAAGACAGTTCGCTCTGGTACAATCGCACTGGCTTATCAATAGGGTAAGATGCTAACAGATATCAATCTATTGGTTCTTTTGAGGATTCGTCTAATTCCTTTTTTCGTTGAATATGCCAGACCCCTGTCTCTCGTGTTACAACCAGATCTCTTCCAGACCTAACAGCCAGTTGTTCCATAGTCCTACATTGACTGCAAATCTCTACCCGATTAAATAATTCCTCATCAGAATTGGCATCTCCGACATATGAGCCACAGCAACTGTCAAGGACAAACCGGTGTCCTAGTCAGACTCATCCGACCAGTGACAAACTGGTACGAAAGGCGATGCATCGTCCTCGGGTTCTTCGCATGTACGGCGTGAGGTGCTGATCTGGGTAGCACGGGTTGAAAATGCCACACCGCGACGAGGTCCTGACCATCGCGGCCCCTCTGACTCTCCCTGTGATACCATTTGGAGATTCTCAACACGCTGCTCCAGCTGTTCGATATGCTGGTGTCGAGATAGCGGAGGCGAGTCCCGCAGCATGCCTCCAGAAGTCGGCGCAAGGGCTTGTCCTCGGCGAGGAAGCAGGCCGTTGGCAAAGCCTAGCGTGGTCATTTCATCGTTGCTTGGATTGCGTCGTGTAAGGCGTCTAGCAGACGATAGATAGTGTTCGAAGCTCTCAGCCCGCTGATGACCACTAACAGCAGGGCGCCGTCGTTGGATTCTGTTGGAGGCTATGGGCTGAGAGATTTGTTGTCTTGGGTGATGAGGTGGTGTAGCGAAGCGGCCGCTGAAGGGGAGGGATGATGATGAAGAGGCTCGTGGACGGCGAGCGCGACTGGAGCGCGGTTTGAAAGGTCTCTCAAGTGTTGCAGTGGGAGAATTGGACTTATCGTCGGACTCATCTGGTGTCTTGGGGTAGTCTGGGATGATTTGGACGGTGGATGGTGGAGTTTCGGGGTACGACGGCATCTCGGTGTCTGAACCTGACACGATTACCGACTTGAGTCTGGCAGACTTTAGGTCGAGAGTGAAATGATATAGTGAGTGGATTGTTGCGTTCTAATAAGTCGAAAGATCCTGCTTCTGCAAGGCTGTTGACTCACATGCCCTTCAAGTTGGCCAGAAATGAGAGAAAGAAGGGAACTCGAGAAAGTTCTCACTGACGGGAGCTCGAAAACCCCCTCCATCTCAGCAATCAAGCGGGTGAGAAGAACACCTGTGTTGTTACCTCTTCTCTCGTCTCTGGGCTAGGCCGTTCGCCTGTGGGAAAGTGATATATCATCGCGGCCAAGCCCCTTTCTATCACCACGTCAAAATCTAGTTCCTCTGTATCAAGGCTATAGCTACCATACAGAAAGGGAATTACGCCATGATGTTACAGATCAACCTTTCGGCTACTTAGCAAATTAGAGCCAACGTAGAACGCCCTAAGTAAAGCAGTTTGACACACGTCAATTCGCTGTCTTAATTTCTTCCCGCACTTGGTGTTTGGGATGATCGCTCTACCCCTGTCGCTAGACTCACCGAAATCATTCTTCTTTCTTGACCTAAATTGTTGTGAAGACAGAAAACGCTTCTTCGATGATGTGAGCTACTTTAATGCTTCTCTTTCCTGTCATGGTACCTCGCAATACGAGAACAGCATTTTGGCACCGCTGTCCTTACCGTCGCGGAACTCATTTCAAGCCGTCTCTGTCAGATATCAATCTGACAGCGGAGTCGGTGAGCCAATGAGCGCTACCAGCACGAGGCCCGAAGTGTGGCACAGCCGGAAAGGCAAACTCATGGCTCAGATTAGGAAGGGGAACATGTTGTTCTGTCCCGGATCGAAACGGAAGTCGTGTATTCACCGCTGTACAAACAAGTACTTCAAATTATATTGTCATTCTATTCACAGCATGTTACTCTCATGTAGCCCTGTTTAGCTGGGGAAATGGCAGGGACTAGGCCTGTTCGTGAGGGTAAGCGAAGTTACTAGTACCACGGTACTCAGCCACTGAGAGAGGCACTTTTGCTCATCAGTCTTGGCAATTGACCATGCTGATAGTACATGACCATGTTGGGGATGCTGGTAAGGTAAATCTCATGGCCGTCTTGCTATCGCGCTGTTCCGCTAAGATTTCATGTCTGGCACAGGACCCACTGGCTATAGATCGTCTTTGCTATCACCGACGATGGGAAACAATCAGACAGAGAGCTTTCGGCTGAAAGCTGTGAGTCCATCGCCGACGCCACTAATTCCCAGCCACTAAAATGCCACCCAACGAGCTGACCAGTCGCTCGCCCCAGATGTCAGGCCCTTGAGCAGCTTCCAATAGATTCTTTGCACTACGGTCACAACTCCAGAAGCAACCCCACCCTTGATTCAACGAACCCTTACAGCAATCTAAATGCATAGAGAATGACCTTCAAGTGTTTTCCAAGAACAGTCTCTAGGCACAGTGGTTTCCACTTTACCATCCGTTATCGACTAAGTGGAAGACATTTCGTGTAAAACTTGAACTAAGCCAGAGTGATATCTCTGCAATGTTCAGCATTCTCAGCAGACATTTGGACTTAACTACTCATCTGCGATAGTCATCGAGACTTATAGCTGCATTATGTAAGTGGGCAAGCTTTCGTTGTTCGGGCAGGCCTCACTTTCAAGGTTGAAGGTCTAGAGCTAGCTTTTCTGAGTAGAAAACCAGGGCTTAGGCCAAGCCTGTATTTCAGCCCCCGCCCGCTTAAATGTGCGAACAAAGAATGCAGAACACTTCATGATTTCTTGTTTATGATTAGGTTTATCTCTTGAATTTTGGTAATCGTAGAACGTCAAACAGCATCTATCGATCTTATGGTGAACAAGTGTCTGTGGAAATGAACGCATGGTGAACAAGCCCATGTAAACAGTAAGCAACCAAAAATAATACAATACGGTAATTATCGAACAAGTAACACACTATTCTTTGTAGGGGGCAATTGATGCTTACGCAGCGGGCTCCGTGAACGCACTTGAAGTACATGGGCTCTAGAGGAAATCTGAACATCGGAAGCAGGATGTTCTGCATTCCTATTAGAACAGTCTTGTACAGGTTTCAGGGTATAAATAAACCCCTAATTCTGGCCAATATCCAAATATCAAGACTTCCCAAAGGTAAGAACGGTTCGAACATTGAGGCACAGTTTCACTCAAACACAAACAATTCGGAAACAAGTACTAACACTTCAGGCATACCGATACTGTAAAGAAATCACAGATCAAAATGAAAGACCTCAATAACAGTAACTCAAACAGGAATTCGGAGTTCATTCGGCAAGGTATTATTCAATGTCTCACTCTAGAAGCAGAGTGCAAGGCCCTAAAAGAGAGTCTTGCAGAAAGTCAAGACTATTCTCAGAGGCTGGAAGCTGAGAATGAAGAATTGAGATTCTGCATTTTAGAAATGATGGAGGATCAAGCTGAAATGAGAGCGGAGCAAGAGGGATTGATGAAGATACTGGGGGAGAAGGACTCTCTTATCGAGAGCTACAGTGCCTTGGTGTCAACGACATTGGACAGAACCGTGCATCGAGAGCGACAGGACATGAGAGATATTGAGGCCAAGGTGCTCTCGACCCTGGAGCAAGATCTCAATGTTGAAATGAGCAAGATAGCTATTGAGCACGCGGGGTCAAGTGACTCTGAAGGAAGCCAGCTTCCAGCCAAAAGACCCGGGCTTGTCCGCCAGGGTGCTCTAAGACGTCGACAAGACGGTAGAGAAACAGTTCCGAGACTTTTGAGACAAGACGCGGAAATGCATAAGTATGAGGACGGTGAGAAATCACCTGAGGGTGATAGCCCACTGGAAATGGCACGGGAGGTAACGGTTCAGAAGCTGAGAATGGCAGACCAGTAGTCAGTAGCTATAACAAGCGCGCGGCAGGTAGATAGTTTATCTATTCTAAAATTAAACCTTAAACCATCATTCCTGTTTGAGAACGTTGCGAAATGAAATTCTACCAAGTATATAGAGGAAGTTAGGGAGTACTGATGATTTATTCTTGAGAGCTTACAGGTGATGTTTTCTAATTGTGTAAAGAACAAAGTTGTTTGTCTTGGGACGTTGAACATTGCTGCAAGAGCTGTATGTTCTTAGTTATTCTTTCTGATTTCCTTTGTGTCACACACTCTCTTGTTCTCATCTCAAGCCGTTAAATGATAAGAAAACTAGCATTGTGTTTTTATTTCATCATACTGGTAAATATGGAAGGATACATATGATGATTTAAAACCATTCAACTATCACTCTTCAGTCTCTCCTGTAGATAAAGTGTATAACAGATCGGGGAGTACTGTACTTCTGGATGTTATTTATCCTCCTCTATGTAACGCATATCTTCCGCTATCAGTGACCTATCGGCGTGGAGAGAGCTATACACAGTTAATATTCAATGGCTTATCATTGGTGCAAACCATGTTTCTTCAAAACTGCAACGGGCAAAGATCATCGCCATCATGCCACTGAAAAGTCTGTGCACCGCACTCGGGCATTTCCAAATCAGAGACAACTGTAACATTACACGGCCTGTGGACCAGAACCCAAGCGAACCCTGGATATGTAAAGAAGCGGGGTAGAAAAGAGGCGCAAAGTCGCTGTGAGGAGGTATTTTAAATCATCGATGTTCTGATGCGTATCTTTGAGGATACTCAATCTGCCATGGGACTTGTACAGCTCGATTCTCAGGCTGCGGCTCTTATCGGGGTTATTATTATCGTCGGATACGTTGTCTCAGCGATTCGTCAATGGGTCCGTCTGCGCCATTTCAATGGCCCTGTGATCGCAGGCTTCAGTCAGTTGTGGCTAATCTCGCGAGTCGGTGGCGGTCGAACCCATCTTGATCTTTGGGAAGCTTGCAAGAAATATGGTGAGTACAACAAATGTGATGTCTTGGTCTATTCATTAGCCGCTCTTTAGTCAGGCCCTAACCGCCACTGTCCGAGCCTTTTGCATATCAAGTCACTCTATCTGCTCCATCTCACAATGTATGATATGCCAATTGACACGATTGGACAGGCGATATCGCCCGCGTAGGACCGAACGACCTCATCACATCTGACCCAGACCTAATGAAACACATGCTCAATGTGCGCACTCGATACAAACGCTCCAGTTGGTACGACGCCATGCGCCTCGATCCAACAAAAGATAACGTCCTGTCTCAACGCAATGATGACCTGCACGCTAGCACTCGTTCAAAAATGGCTGCAGCATATTCCGGCAAAGAAGTTGACAACATCGAAACTACCGTTGATGAGAACGTCGAAAGGTTACTCGAGTTGCTCGATACTGAGTACATGGCCAAAGGAAAGCCATTTGACTTTGGATATAAAGCTCAATATTTCACCCTCGATGTCATTTCTGCTTTAGCCTTTGGTGAGGCGTTTGGGGATTTGGAGACTGACTCGGATGTGAATGGGTACATCACTGCAATGGAAGAGAGTATGCCGACGATCATAACTACCACTGTGATGCCCTGGATGATCAAACTGCTGCAGCTCCCTATCTTCAGAAAAATGCTACCATCGGACAAGGACAAAGCTGGTGTTGGTAGAGTCATGGCGATCGCCAAGAAGGTCGCGGCCGAACGCTTTGGCCCAAACCCCAAGGTTCAGAGAGATATGATTGGCTCGTTTGTTTCGAGGGGACTGCTTCAGCATGAGGTTGAATCAGAGATTCTGATGCAAATGTGAGTTAAGGCTTCGCTTTTTCAACAGGGAGCTGATACTCGACAAGTCTAGCAGGTGCTGACACCACTGCCACGGCCATCCGAGCAACTCTACTCTACATCATCTCTAATCCTCGCGTGGTTAACGCAATGAGAGCAGAGATTGACAACGCCAAATTAAGTCTCCCCGTTGTCACTGACAGCGAAGCACGCGCAATGCCATATATTCAAGCCGTTATCAAAGAGGGTCTTCGAATCCACCCGCCAGTCGTCGGTCTCATGAGCAAGGAAGTCCCCCAAGGTGGGGATACCTTCAAGGGGCAATATCTACCGCAAGGGACCAAGATCGGTTATTGTGCATGGGGCATATTCCGCCGAACTGATATTTGGGGTGAAGACTCTAATGAGTTTCGTCCTGAACGATGGCTGAATTGCACTGAAGATAAGCTTCGTCTTATGGAAGGGACTCTAGAACTTGTTTTTGGATATGGACGGTGGCAATGTCTTGGGAAGAATATCGCGCTGATGGAGCTGAATAAGGTTTTTGTTGAGGTAAGTTCAAAGCGAACTCACGCACTCTGCTTTTGGTCCATTTGACTAACGCACGAGCGTATCTAGCTGATCCGCCGTTTTGATCTTGCTGTTGTTGATCCGATCACACCATGGCGGTCCATCAATGTTGGCGTCTTCCTACAATCAGAATACTGGATCAAGGGATATAGACGAGCAGGCCCTTCCTAAAGGGGCTCCAACTGTTTGAAACAATGACACACATTGCTCTCTGCTGCTTTGGGGTGTTTCAGGGTTTTACGCAAGAGACTTAAGGTAGCCACCATGGGCACTATGGCAGATGAGTATAGAAGATCTGAATTATGTCAGAAAGAGATACGGCATGAGAAGCTACTGGAAGTGGGTGTTGGGCATTTTATGGCGGAAAAGAGGCAGAACGCACCTTTCTCAGACTTGCATGCTCCAATCAATTTTCTATCGAACGTCTCATGAACTGCTCCAAGTTCAGGACCTGGTCGCGAAAAAGGCGACAATGCACCTTATCCTTTATACACATAACGTATACAAATTAACCCTCATCTCAACATCCAAGGTCCATCATCCAACCGTCATCCAAGAGTCCTATTCTCTCTTAATGGCCTAACTGTCATTTCCAAGTCGCAATAGAGCACCAAGTGCATAGGGGGGATGAAGTTTTTCGTTTCTTGAGCTGCCCAGTGGTCAGCAGTGTTGGCAACCGTACAAGAAAGACAGCTTACGGTCAGGGTATGAGTGTGCTCATGTTGAAGACACAAGAATTTTATGAGCCGTACAAGCGACGGTCTCAAGAAGTGGTTGGCGCTGGCTTGGGGTTGAGCACAAACTCCGTGTACCAAGGCCAGAAGACTTGAGACGACCAGGTTCTCAACCGACGGATGCCGGCGATGATTCGGAAGGTTGGAAACAGCTTCCCAGTCGAGCCAAAAGGTCGGTCCATCTTCCAAAAGATCTACAAGATTAGCGACACGTCCAAACAGGATACAGAAGCACTCACAGTCTTTCCACCAACATAAGTAGACGCCACGAATCGCCACTGATGTCCCTCGACGATGATACCAGGGATAAAGGACAGATTCTTCACATTATCGCCAACGAGCTTTTCCAGGTGCTTCCATTGAGCTGCATGCTATACCCCCAACTGAAGTTGTGCCTTTTGCACGTCCTGGCCGCTGCGCTTGGTCTCGATGCTGAAGGAGATGGGTGTGACCTTGCGATAGCCAGTATGGTTGATGGAATCCTCTGCAAAGTTGGCGCGATACTTATCGATAATGGCTCTGGCGTTCGGATGGGCTTTGTCGTTGTCGGGGTTGATGTAAGCGACGTAGTCGACCTTTTTGCCAGGGGCAGCTTTGATCTTGTACTCAGGAAGGATGGTAGCGGTGGCGCTGTGCATGAATATTAGCTGGAGATGAGTGAAAGTGTTGTAGAAGACATACCAGGTCAGGAAGCCATCGAGCTGCGGAGGGCAAGGATATTTTCCGTAAAAGGCGGCGTTGAGGAGGGGAGTGTGAACATGATTGTTCCAGGTATGCTCGTCCAGGAGATCTTCCTGACAGTTATTGGCGCTGGCCATGATTGCGATGATGTCGTAAAGGTTGACTTCGCGATGAGAGTCCGAGTACTTCGCCGCATTCTTGTCGAACATGCCGGTAGTGAAATCGCAATCATCAATGGTCTTGTCACACATCTCAGCCTATCAATTATCAATAAAGGAAAATAGCTGCGCTGAATATATTGCACTTACTTGGAGATACTCGGGGACAACGCCATGTCCATTCGCGATACTCTCCATCTCCTTCTCAAGTTGCACCAGAGACTTCGGGACCAAGGGATCCGATGCCTTGAGCGGTTTCTGCATGAGTCCATTGGGTGTGACCGAAAGCTTGGACATGACCTTCTTAGGCGACAACTGCTTCACCGTACCGCTGCTCCTTTGGGAAGAGCCAGTGTCGGTGACTGATCGATCAGGTCGTGAAATCTCATCGTTGTCGTCCTCAACAATGATCTCACTTGCATCAATCCCATCGCTGTCTGTCTGCGCAGCAAGGAAAGGCACGACACCGAGCTTGCGCTTCCTCACGAGTGTGCCATCTATGGTTGAGTCGGCACCGCGGTCGAGGGAGAGCGGCGGCGAGATGGGGAGATTGGCGTCGGAGAGGGAGCGCTTCTTGGAAATGGACTGTGCCGAGGAAGAGAAATGAGGAGGGAGGTCGTCCAGCCAAAAAAAAAAAAAAAAAAAAAAAAAAAAAAAGGATGTGTTGGTTGATGCTGTTCATGACGCATGCGGGAAGGCAATGTGATATCGTGATAAGTGCTACTGAAATGGATATGAAGCTGAGGCGAAAGTGGAGTCAGTTGGTATATGTGATTTAGTGTAGCTTTGGTAGAGCAATCTTCTATTTGTAAACTCTTATTATTATTAATAACCTATATTATAGTAATAATTAATATTATAGTCTATTAAACATTTTTATAAATAAAGTTATAAAGTCTTAACATATTTTTTAAAATAGTTTTTAATTATTTTAAGGTATTTAACTCTCTAAATTATTATCATTATAAGTAATTATAGAAACTGTAAAATGCAATGAGGTTATATTATAACGGTTTTAATATAACTCTTGAATTTATACTATATATAGTATGGAGATTCTAAATTATTATCAAGCCGACCTTATAGTGGCATTGTGCTCAGCCTCGAGGAGCAATAAAAAGCCAATATAATTGCGCAAAAAAATCGCCGCCACCTTGCTTGCTTGTTCTTTCGACGCATCCTGAAGGAAAGGAACAAGATAATCTACCGCCCAGAATAGGTAAAGACTAGTGGATGCATATGTTTCTAGACGCTCGCATCGCACAATTGCTTCGGCTAGGTCCCTCATCATCTGGACGAGCGACATAAGCATAACCATATCGGCATCCTCGCCCTGTACCATCTGTAGTGTCTTCAATCTAGTAGCTCCAGCTGAAGCAACTTGTTCAGCCAGCTGTCTCACGTACGCAGCAGGTGGGAGATCTTGGAGAGAAAAGGCTTTCTGGGACAGTCCTGCTAAATACTTAGCCAGGCGTGACGCAATTTCATTCTGCCGCATCTCGCCAATGCGCTTACGACAGAGCTTGCGAATTTCTTCATGACCATCTTCGTACAAAATCAACTGTAGCAAACCATGCTTGTCATACATCATGGCTGACACGATGGCCTGGATGAGGAATTCATCTTCAAGACCCAGAGCCTCAGAGACAAACACATCATAACTGAACTTGACGTGTGAGGCTAGAGGAGCTGAGACCACAACATCCCGCCAGGCATGTAGCTGTTCTTCCGAAAGGCTCATACCGGACGTGGGGACAAGTTTGGAAATCCCAGTCGCGTTGTCTATCTCAGTCAGCTTGGACTCGACTCGTCCCGCTTCCGATAGCAGCACGAAGAGAAATGCTTCGTCAGAGTTTGAGTCTTGGTGGCCAGTCAGGAACTCAACGAGTGTTTTCGGCTTGGAGCCGCCGTCCGATTCTCGGAGAAGTGCCCCAGGGTTATCCCTGGCAAGATGGAAAGCAGCAGACATGCAGCTTCGGGCATCTCCATACTCATTCCGGTAGCGATGATGCACCAAACCCCCTGCCGAGAAGAGCATGGATAGGGGCTGTTCCGGGTGCTCGACCTCTATTACGGTAGGACCTTGGCCAATCGCCTGTTTCTGAAAATCAAAGAGGCCATCGATGGCCTCTTGCGTACCAAACAGGTTATGCTTTTCAGTCGAGAAGGGCGTGCCGCATGCATCGAGATGGATCTCGCGATTGCCGCGATGGGTCCCCGGGAGAAAGGTAAAGTTCTGGCCCGACGGACCTGCGACTTGGCCCTGCTTCCAAACCAGGAGAATCTTGTACTCGTCCTTGAATGGGGTGTTGTCCACGTGAAGCATGTTGTCTTGTGCATTAGCAGACAACGGCTCGGTATTTTTGCCTCGCATGTCGATGATGCGGATAGCACCACCCATCTGGTAGGCGATCAAGGATATGAGCAAGGGGTGAACAAAGGCGTCATTATACTGTGCATTCTTGATAAAGGAGGGACTGTCGGACAAGTTGACGTAAGAATGAAGAAAGTTTTGACTTCCTGTCTTCTTTTGGATCGTCTCGTAGTCCTCAATCAGCTTCTGAAACTTGGACACATCGATGAGGCCACCAAATAAAGCACAGCCTTCGGTTTCGACGAGTTCAGCTAGTTTGAGAAACCGAGTCTTTGTATCTGGGTCCGCCCAGTGCTGTTGGAGTCCGCTCAGCATACGCTTACGGAAGTTATCCTTCGCTTGCTGGCTAGGGCCTCTACGGTATTTGACGGTGTTGAAATGGAGTGCTGGAACACCGACGACGCCAGTGGCGCGTTGTTTCAAAATTTCTCTCCGTTGGTCGGCGGTCAGCTCCGAGAACAAGGAAGACTGCTTCGCCTTTTGCCCTGCGGCGCCAGGAATCTGGAAAGGAGCTGGTTCAAGTAAGGAGGTCATATTGAAGAGATGGATTCGTGTACTTTCGATGTGATGAACGAGATGAGAAGTAATGGGATTTATCATGCTTTACAGACTTGTCGCAAACAATCCTCTACTTATAGCTATCTTCTGACCTTAGGCCGACGCTCCCACAAGCAAGCTATGTGATGGTTTGAAAGTAGAAAGTCTAGGGTGTGCATGTACGTGCACCCCATCAGCAATTCCACACCCCGAGCAGAGCCTCAATATGCATGGTGATGGGATGTCAGTTGAATGCAGCATGCAATGCAAATGCCTTTTTGTGGAGTTGCAAGCATTTAATGTAATTTACAATTGCAATATCCCCCTCACGGGATTCCCATCCTTGTCGTGTACCCAATAATGCTACCAATCAGCATCGCATTTCTAGCAATGAGGCTGACAGGCTTAACACCCAGGGACTTCTATTTGTCCACGTATCAATCACATGGGTCTCGAGATAAGGCGCGCTGTCAGCGTGAGCTCTCGGCCAACGCAATAGCCTAAGATAAGTTTTCCAGCTTATCATTTGATCACATTTATCATATGGGCGTCGATAAGTCTCACTTATGGGTGAGCGCATGGGTGAAACCAGGATCGCCCCCAAGATGCCCTGTAGTGGTCGGTTTGCTAGATGCGTCACTCGCTCATCCTACGGCTCCGACTCCAAGTCTAATGATTGTCCTCCCCCGTACCAGATGGTTCCTGCACGAATGTCGAGGCTCCGCCGGCCATCAATAACCCAACTTCCTGATTCCGGCGGTACAGATCCCTCGTGAGGCCAGTACTTTTGCGCCAGCATTTCATTGATTTCTTCGATTCCCGTCACCCAAGAAGCCATTGCCTCCTGGCTGGGATTCCCGTTTCTGTTATGATCTTCCTGTGTGATAAACCTGGCCAACGTGATATGACAGGCCGTGGCACCTTTCTGAGTCTCTGCATCTACTCCTTTCTCACTACACAGAGCAAAAATGTCGCGTCGAAGATGGAGATATGTGTAGTCTGTAGTCTTTGTTCGGCTGTCTTGCGTTTCCTCGTCGGCGGCGGGTACAAACGAAAGTGCTACTCCCCCTTCGTTGAAGGATAGTTTGGGCTTCACAAGCCGAATTTGCTGCCCATGAAATATGCTGGCAAGCTTTTTGAGGCAGGGTTTAAATTTTATAGTCTTGTCCACGAGCTCTTTTGGAGTAATGGAGAGTGCTACTACAATGACAGTCATGTGCAGACATTCTTGCGGCGTCAACCAGAGATCTATCGCTTCTGTTAGACAAGCCCAGAATAAGTGTGCCCGATCAGTGCTATACTTGGACTCAGCCTCTTTAACATTAATTGGCATTGCAACGCAATATCTTTGACTTGGAAGCTCGGTCTCGCCCAGATGCACAAGCAGTTCCTTGGGTCTTGGTATTCGGGATTTTTCAAGGTATTGACGAGGATCTCATCTACGTTGACACCTTGGAATTCCTCGCCCAGGAGCTTCTCCTTAGCCTCATAATTCCTGTCATTTCTTTCCTCTTCGAAAAGAGCTTGTATTCGAGTCGGGTTGCCAGCGAGACTGTCGATAATCTTGTCATATGGATTGAGACCGGCGGGACGACTCATTGGGGGTAGCCAATGCCGTGTCTGGAGATGTGTCGGGAAGGATGCAATGGAAAGCTGACAATCAAGGCGCAGGTTGCGAACCACGATGGATGCCTTTATCTGTTTTTACACGCCATGCTTGAAAACATGTCCTGTCAATTATCCAATCCCAGCCTACCACGTCTATGGTCCCACTTCCCCGCTCATGCTGGTTCTGCTTGTGCCACGTCATGTATTTCTTAAGGGAACATGACACACCGTTATCACGTCACTGCGCCTCTCCACGCTGCAGCATCACAACACTGCATTGAACAGTGGCCTCAGAATTTTCGATATTGAAGTGGAGGATTGAAACTCAATGTACCCTGCTATGTCTACTGTCCGCCAGTCGTATCTCGAATTAAGGATATAATGTGCTTGCATTCAGACTGCCTTGCGCTGCACCTACATGCAGTACCCGAAGATGAGGCGGATTGCAGGCAAGCAGGTGACCTAAATATGCCCTGCTGACAATAATGTTGCATTATATAGCGGTTGATCTGATGCTGCAAAAGCGGCATGTGATTCGGCCACATTGCAGAGTAAATGAGAAACACAAGTTTGATCGCGACTTCCCATTAACACGGCTGTCATTTCGACATTCGAATTCACTATTCTTCTTCTTTGGATCTTGCTCATCTTAGGAATCTGACTGGCAATATGGCTGCCGCTGGCGAAGGCGACTTCTCGAGACTCGAGGCAGGCTTCGCCGAGCTTAAAGTGGAACGTCGACGTGTGTCTCTCGAACAAGTAACGAACAGGCACGCCA